AGTCACCTGTAAGGCGGGAATCGGGTCCGTGGCGTGGACAGGCGGACGAGAAGAGGGAGGTGGAAAAAGCACTAGAATACCCCCGCAATGCCCCCCTCCCCCCTCCACGACAGCCGGGCGATCACATCGGGATGCATATCATGAAGGGAAACGAACGTTTGCGAGCACCACAGATGTCGATCGGAAGTCTCCTCGAAAGAGAGTTGGAGAGGAGAGCGAGGAAGCGAAGGTCCGCAAAACGCGAGGAGAATTTAAAAGTAAAAACATATTAATAATAATAAGCGAGACATCCTGCGGTGTTCACACACACACACACACACACAAGCGCAAACAAAGAAAAAGAAGACGAGCATCCTGTCTGCGGAACATAAACAACAACAACAAAAAATGTATTGAGCGATGAAATTCGGCGTGCGGGAGAGAACGAAAAGAAAGTTCTTTAAAATCTGCACCAATAAGTGTCCGCCACCGCGCGCGTGTCCCTTCGCGGTTCTGCGTTTCCAAAAAGCTTTCGCAACGTCGCCACACTCTCTAACGAATCACAACGAAAATAAGAACAACCAGAATTACAACCAACACCGCGATACAGATCATCTTCCCCTTATCACTCGTCGAGTCGATCAGCTTGCCCACTTTCTTCATTGCACCATCGAGACGCTGCTGCACGCGCGTCATGCCGCGGTCGATGTTGTCTAAGATGTGCTCCTGCGTGTTCAGTTCATCCTGAATATTCACCGCCGTGTCTTTCACCCGGTGAATGCCGCTCGACAGTCGGTCCAGCGTGGCGTCGTCCTGCTGCATAATACTGTGCTGCACCTCATGCTCCTGGCGAAGGAAGTCGTTGTTCTCGCGGGTGGCGCTGTCCACTCCGCCGTCGTCCTGCGCCGCCGCCATTCGCTTCCGCTGCGCCGCCTGCACCTTTTCCGCGAGTTGCTGTGCCTTCATCATGTCTCGCTCCCATGCCCGAATTCGCTCCGCCCGGCTTTGCAGCTCCTCGGCCGTGATGGCAAAAGATTCCGGGTGCTCCATCGCGGTGTCGAGGGCAAACCGCATGTCCTCCACCGCCTCGTTGCAGCTCGACACCGACTCCAACAGTTCGTTCTCGGCGATGACGGTTGGGATGGCGGTGTCGCGGAAGCGCTGCATCTGCGTCGCCAGCTCCGCCAGCATCGCGCCTACTTGCTTCTCCATCTGCGGCCACGGGTCTTCACGTGTGGCACCGGCGGCCGGCACCGCTGCAGCGCCAGCGACGGTCGTGGGCGGCATGGAGGGCGACCCACTCACGGTCGTCACCGGATTCATTGCGGAGTTCATCTGCTGCGGTGGAGGTGGTGGTGGGGTATAGGTAGAAAATCGAAGCAGCGAGACACTCTTAGGTGAGCTCCGATGTCCGCACCTGGAGGCGACGGGGACGAGGCGAACTCAGCCAAGCACTCCGTGCGCCTTCGCCGCCAAATGAATCTGTCAAAAGAAGATGTATCTAGTAACGAGGCGTGAAACGGACAACAGAAAAAGGCGCTGACGAAAACGAGATGGTAAACAAACAAGTTAGCGATACGAACAGGGTAAAGGTGGAGAAACTGGATATATCGCAACGAAAGATGGGAAACGGAGTGATAGGGAAGAAATGCACCTGTGGCACCAAACGCGAAGGCCACAAGTGGGACGGAGAAGGGAATGCATGGAGGAGCCACAGAGGAGATGGAACGCAAGAGGCAGGAAAGAAGGGCTTTATTGGACGTTAATAAACGCAGGCGGAGGAGGAGGGAGCAATTCCCCGAAAATACAAGTAAGAAAACGTTAGGTCAACAACAGCAATGCTCGTTCTCTTTTTCCGCTGTTGTGGGGTTTTCCTCGGTTTGTTGATCGACGCGCAGCGACAAAAATGCCTGCTATCGGTATGTATTATATATTGGTTGTAGCTCCTTGAACCAAACAACACGCACGTCCAATGTAGATCGATGTGATAATAACCCTCAAAAAAAAACCTCAATACGCGGCCTCGCACTTCCTCCCACGAAACACCCACGTCAACAAGCAAACAAACAAAAAACCTTTCACGTGTGCCTTGGTTGTTAACAAACGCCACCGCGCGCGCGCAGAGGAAACCGCGAGGCAAGGTGCACGTTACTGCACTGCGCAAAGGACGCGGGGTCGTTCAGGCCGTTGCTGTTTTGAAAGTCACTCAAGTCGAAGTCGCACCGTACAAAACGCACGCCAGACACACCTCGGCGGCCGCGCGAATCGCGATCGTCGTTGGTAACGCCGTTCATTAAATCGCGTGCTTTCCCCTTCCCGTCGTTGCTGAGCGGCGTTTCGTTGGCACTCTCACCTCGATGACAGCGTAGTCCAACCGCCGCCAGGCGAAACACGCAGTCTTCAAAGCGCACGTGCCCGCCGCAGCGAACGTCCTTCATGAGGCACCCCGTAAAGTTACACCGACGAAAGACCACGTCGCACCACTCCGCCTGGTAAAAGATGGCACGTGCGAGATCGCAGTCCTCGACCGTCACGCGACTCCACCGCACACGCGAAAAGTCACAACGGGTGAGAGACAGGTGGCGCAGGTGCCGCCGCGACAGCTCGCCGTGGCTGAGCACCGCCTTCATGTCGAGCCCAGCCAGCAGGAGCGAGGAAGCCTGTGTGAGGGGAGACGACGCGTCGGGGACCGATGTGACATCAAAACTGCCGTCATTCTTCCGCTTTCTCGCCTCCTCGCGTGTGTGAGGGCCTCTGCGCATCGTTGCTGTGCAGGCCCTACGGTCGTCACCGCCGTGGCTCACCGTGTCCATCAAGGCCAGCACCTTACGCTCCAGCGGCACCTCACCAGAGGTCAGCACAGCGGTGAGGGCGGGGGGAGAAGATGTGGGGTGGGCGTCCACCGCACCTCCATGGAAGGAGGAGCTCGCTGCTGGCAACGAATTCGACGGACTAGAACGGTCCCGCTGCGTGGCGCTCGCCGTCTCCTCTTGACAAGACGCCGTCATCTGCATGACGTCTATCAGCTCGCTGGGGTCCACCGAGGCGTACGCGTCCTGTGGCAGCAGCAGCTGACCCGCCACCTCGCCTTCGTGCGCTTTCCGCACATCCCATTCCTTTGAATTGCAATTCGGTGAAGCCTGGAAGGCAGTGGCAGTCGCATCGCCTGCCAAGGAAACTCTTGAAACGTCCGCTGTGTTGGACAGAAATCTCGCATCAAGGGAAGTCGCCGCAACGGGTGACGCGAGGGCCTCGTCTGCGTACAACGAAACGGAGATGGCAAGCAGCGCGTCGAGCATTTCCGCATCGAACTCGGGTGCTGTCGCGTGTGGAGACCTGCGAGACGAACAATCATTCGCCGACGCAACGAGTGTGGGGGAAGCAGAGGAGGAGTAGGACGAAGAAGATGATGAGGCAGGTGTGGGGTGGGGCAGTGACACCCGGGAGCCATTGCGCGCTTGCAGGCGAGAGCAGTAATGGCGCAGAGGCACAAGGAGTGTTTGCTGCAGCTGTGCACCACCGGCTAATGCCCAGCTGTAGTGCAGAGGACTACAGCAACCTCGATGCATTCGACCGGGTACGTACGCATCTGCCGTCCTTGTATTTGTATGTCGTGCGGTTCGAAACGCACACACAAACTCAAAGCGAGAGCGAGACGAAACGAAGTATGTACTGATGCAGCAGTGACTTGCAGATTCGCGATGTTGAGGTGATCAGTATGTGTGTGCGTGGGTGTACACGCGAGGAGAACAAAGGGGGTCAATACAAAAGAGAGGAAAGACGAATTTGAAGGCGGTTAGAGAGGTAAAAGCGGCGTAGAGAGGCCGAAAAAAAGCGGGCGCGGCCGACGCAATACGAGCATCTAACGCGGTGGTTTACCTTCATTCAAGTGACTGAGTGAGGTGTTGGAGGAGAAAGGAAAAAAAAGAGTAGTCCGACGCAGATGCCGCAGCTCACTGCGTTCACTCCCACGCGATGCAGTCCGAGAACATTTTTTGTCGGGATCCGAAAAAAGGCAGCAGAAGAAAACCAAAACGCTTCAATTCAACGCATATGTATGCCTCGTTCGCCGCAATCGAGTACGAAAGCGCGGCGTGACCTTTGCTACTATTATCATTATCATTATTCTTTTAACGCATCATTTGGCAGAAAGCAAGTAACACACAAAGACCCGACATCGGCAAACACGCAAATCAAGAAGAGGCCCATAAAGAGAGAAATATTTATGCAACAACTTACCACTTAAAGAGAGAGACAGACGGAGAGTTACGTTGGCTTAATCGAGTGGATGCAGAGAGGAGCACGCACACGTACGAAAGCACAGACGTGCGGTTGCAAGAGAGAAAACAAAACAATCATCATATATATATATATGTATCTACATGCAACGTCGTCAACGTTCAGCTAGAGGGGAAGGGGGGAAAGGGGGGCGTTGTTTCTTCCTTTTCCTGTTTAGATGAAAGTAGCTGAAGGAGGAAACAACACACGCATCCCTCACTGCACCGAGCACCATCGGGGGTGCGCGGAATGCCTAGATCGAAGTCCGATGCAGGAGGAACACGCAAAAAAAAGGCACTTCGCGAAAAAGTGAGAGGCGTTTGTAGGCGGCACATGGCACCGCCTCCAGCTTGGGACGGCGAACCTACCGAAAAAAAAAGGGGGGCACAGACACGACGAATGAGGCACAACGTCACTCGCGAAGGCTGGTTGGAAAACAGAAGGAAGGGCGACAACACCGTTGAAGCGCCAAAACAAATAAGAACAGAAGAAGTTTAAAAAGTGAGAAATCCACAAGTTCAAAACAGAACAAAAAAACGAATAAAGCCAGGAAAAAAAAAAAGAAGAAGACTACGCTCTTACGTCCGGGGACTCGACTCCGTATTGCCTTTTACCTTAAACCCTCTCTGTCCGCCTTTAATACACCGTTACAACCACGTAGACGACTTACTCTGACATGCATCCCATAAAAAGAAAGAGGTAGCGTTGCCCTTACGCGGTTATTTAAATAAAGAAATAGAATTACGGGCATTTTTCGCTGCTCCTCATCACACACACACACACACACACACGCAAAAGCGTTGCCTACCTAGAGAGAGAGAGAGGGAGGGCGGAGGGAAAGAGACGCGCCACGAGCGTCAACGAGGACGAGAAGCAGGGGCGCCCGTGCGCAATGAATTTAGCACAAAAGTAAATCACAAGAGAAGGAGAGCAAGAGAAAAAGAGAGGGTAAACAACAACGTTAAGCAGCGAGAATAAACAAAAGAAGAGTGAATGATCCGTCCCCTTGTTTACGTCAACGATTCGAGTTTGTTGAAAAAGAGGAAAGACCGAATAGCGCCAGTGCCTTGATTCCTTAAACGGATGCCCCAATCGAAGTTTGCCGAAGCTGCCGAGTCTCAACGACACGGCAGGCAGGACGAAATCCACCGAGGATTTCGGCAACAACAACAACAAGAAGAGAACGGGCCAAAATCATCGAGAGGAAGATACAGCAGGAAACAACACAAAATACAAAAGGAGAACCAAGCAGGAGCAAACGCAGGCGTTCTGTAACGAAATGAGGAGTACCACGAAAGAGGAGGTAATAATAAAGACAGAAAAGAAAAAAGGCACACTAGCGAAAGGCTTCGCGATGAGGATGCGCGTACCACCCGACGTACACCAAAAACGAAAAGGGTTTGAAGATAACACTCCCGTCGCACAGAAAAATGTAGGCGTGCGCCGAGTGGGCCTAGGAGAAAGAGTTTCGATTGTTTCAACCAACAAAAAAAACAAACGAGAAGAAAGAGAAAGAAAGCCATTCCAGACACACAACTCGTTGAGCTTTTTTACGCGGCTCACCGTCCAATTTCTTTCATCCACTTTCCTTCTTTTCACACACACACACAAAAGGAATAGTTAGTCGAATATATATATATATTTCTTAATTCTCGTTGAAAAGGAAAAAAAAAACGTCAATCAACATCAGCAACTAGATTAGAAGAAAACGGAAAAAATAGAAGACATTCCCAAGAGAAAGCTTTTTAAACGTACAAAGAATGTGATCGGGAAAACAGAGAACATGTGACTGCAACACCTCGCAAGCAGCTCTTTAGTTTATCTTTCATTATTAATATTCTTTTTTCAACAAGAACTGCAAAGATCAAAGCACACACGTCACTCAAATTGGGAACAAAAAATACAATTGCCAGGGGGGAAGTGAAACGACCGTTCGACGTCGCGACAACAACGGAAAAAATACATATAGATGTCAAAATAAAGCTAAAAGAAGAATCGCAGAAAAAAAAACCTTAGTTCACCACGGAGAGCCAGCCGAGGTAGAGGTGAGCGGCAAGATGAGAGCAAGGAGGAAGAGAAAAAGGTAAGGGAGAGGGAGCACCAGAAAAGACACTGCAAAGTTGTCACACAGGGAATGATCCCTCACGCAGAAAAGAAAAAAAGAGAAAAAAAGAAACAGCAATTGGTCTTTCCTTTTCTTTGTTGTTGCCGTTGTTGATTCCTACTCACTGCGCACCAGCTGGACGCTGCTTCGCAACTTCGTCATGCGCACTGAGCTCAGCGGCATAAGTTCGCCGTCAGACATTGAAATGCCTGCATCGATTTTGATCTCCAGCGCACGCGCCTTCACGTAGTTTACAAAGTCGAGGTCCACGTGCTTGCCCGCCTCCAGTCCCATAAAAAACTTAAGCATCTCCATTCGGCCTCCCTTGCCAGTGCACGGGTCAATGCGGCAGTACACGACATCGATCGCGCCGTCCGACATGTGAGACAGTGGCGCCATGAGCATATCCTGCGCAACATCCCGCACATTACACATCAGCACAATACAGAACTCACCACGGATGGTCACCCACGGCAGGTGCGAATCGGCGAAGTCGACCGAGTCCTCATCTAGCAGCTCCGCGTCCGTGTAGGGGGCAAGCGTGGCCGCCGCATTGCACCCACTCGTTGCGCCGGCGCCGTCACGGCTCGTATTGGGCGAGTTGCCCGTGTGCTTCTCCGCCGTCCGGTGCGAGGAGGTGAGCGAGGACTGACCGCAATGCGTAAAGGTGTACTCCTGGCAGTGCGGGCAGTCCTCGCGCATCGTGCACGTCGGCCAGTCCTCGCCGCTCGGCATACGATGCCGCGTGTGCAGCTTCTCCACGGTCCGACCCGACTTGCTCTGCCAGGGCAGGTAGCGCAGCACGCCGTTGTAACGCTTGAGACCGAGCAGGATGAGGTAGCCGCCGTAGACATGGAAGCGGGCATTGCCCATCCAGCGGAGCGGCTCGGAGCCGTGGTCGATGTCGTTGGCCGCCCCAAAAGAGAGCGACATGAAGGCGACGCGGTTCGCGAAGTACGGCATCTTCAACGCGTAGTTCACCTCGTCCGTGTACACGTTTGAGCCGTCCTTGAAAAAGGGCGGTGTCGGGTCCGCTGCGCACAGCGCACCAGCCGGGTGCTGCGGAGCTCCTTCATCCTGCCCATGTGCCCCTTGTAGCTGCTGCTGATGTGCAGCCGCCTGTGTCGCGGCCCGCTCTTGCAGCTCCGTCGCGTGTTCGTGGCGGTACTTCGCAAAGTTCTGCTTCGCCGACGTCGCCTTCTTCACGCTGAGCTCGTTGCGCTGGCAGTCTATCATCTCCTTATTCGGAGAAAAATTCATGTGGAGGAGGTCCATGTGTACGGTGGACAGGTGCACCAGCGCCATGGCAGACTCCGCGACGGAGAGCACGTCGAGGCTCTTCGCCAGTCCGCACGCGCTGCCGGACGGTACGGTGGCGATGAGCGGCATCAGCGCGTCCCACCCCTCCTCCACCAGCTGCCGCGCCAGCTGCTGAGCCTCCACGGCGGCCGCATCGGCCAGCGTCGCACCACGACCTCGTTTGCTCTCCTCCACCTCCAGCTGAATATTCGGCCCACCGGCCGCTGTCGTGGTGGGGGCGGAGGCATCATTGACAATGGCCGAAGACGCAACATTCGGATGTGCGTGCGGCGCATCCAGCGTGGTCGGCAACTTCGTCAAGACAGCGGTGGTGGTGGTCGAGTTGCCGTCGGAGACGGTCGCCAGCGCCTGCGCCTCGACGCCGCACGCGCTGCTGCTGCCCTCGTCGCCCAGCCGCTGCGAGATGTCGTCCAAGCCGTTACGGGGCGTGACGTTCGTCGTGACGCTGCGCAGCCACCGCACCAGGGAAAGCTTGCGACGATGCACGCCGTTCACGACCTCGTTGATCATGCCATCGCCCCCGACGGCGGTCACGACGGTGCTGGCGTTCATCGGATGTCTGAGGTCCGCCACGTAGTCTTCGCAGTCGTGGGCGCGTTTCGTGATGTAGGTTTGGTACGTGTGTCGGCTGAAGTGCAGCAGGGGCAGGACGTGCTTGTCGAACACGTGCTCGCCCTTGCCTTTGCCGGACTTTGGGCTGATGAAGACGAGGATGTGCTTCGGGCCCTTGCGGTAAATGCGCTGGACGAGCGCGTTCACCACCGTCTGCACGTACTCCGCCGATCCGTGCGAGAGGAACTCCAACGTGTGGATGGAGGGGCTTTCACGGTTGCGCTGGCGCATGTAGTAGACGTAGTACCGTATCTGCGACGCCGAGCTCGCCAGCGGCGAGGTGGCGTGGTTGCTCACGCCCGATGGGGACGTCAGCGAGTAATGGGGGAAAAACAGACCACCGGAGGAGTGGCCACCGGAGGCATCGGTGTTGACCCGGGAGTGCGCAAACACCAGCGGATCGCCGTCGTCGCCGGTAATGCCGTGTGGGAACGCAGAGAGCAGCCCGGCGCCGCTGCTGCTCTCGGCAAAGACGAGCTTCACCGCCTCGTCGTTCGCTTGCCGCGCGCGTTGCCGCTCCTCCTTCTCGGCGGCCGTCTCGACGTTGATGATCATGTGAACAGGGATGTTCAGCACGGTGCGCACCTTGCCGGAACTGGCGATGCTGGTGATGCGCAGGGAGTCCTTCGTAGGGGAGAAGGTCATCGTGCACGTGCGGCCTTTGGCGTGCACGCCCGCCGTCATGTCCGCCGAGTTGCTCGCCTCCGCCCGCTTCGGCTGACGAGTATTCCGGTGAGAGGCCGTAGTGGGGGAGTGAGCCGGCTGATGGCGCGTCCCTGATACACGCAAGGAGGGGATTCTATTGTGCTCGTTGCGTGTGGAGTCCTTCGCTCCGTCCCGGCTGCCCCTGTTCGAGTTCGACGACGGCACATCAGCACCTGCGCTGACGCTCATCGTGGGCTCGGATGGATCGACGTGCGAGGCAGCCGCATCGCTCGGCGGTGCCGCGCACGCGACGTCGGCCGCAGCGGCGGCGGCGTGACGTTCTGTCGTGTCCTGCGCGACTAGAATGACGCTGGGCTGCTTTGGTGGATGCGCCTGGGTCGTAGGCTCCTTGCAGGAGCTTAAAAGGCGCAGATGGTGCTGGTGCGACGAGGAGGTCGCTGCGGAGCTCTGCGACGGCATCGCGCGATGAAAAGAGGTGCCACTGTGAGATATGAAATATATATGCAAATACACGCAAACGAAAGACGATGAAGTGCGTGCTGTGATGCGACCAGATCAGAGGAGGAGCCAGAAGCGCACAAAGAGAGAAGGAGAGAAAAAATCACCTGCAGAAAGGGGGAAAGAGACAGAAGCCGCTAACAGCCGCTTCTGACCGTGAAACGACGCACAGGAATGCAGAGATAAGCAAAAGTGGTAAAACCGAAGGCAATTAGAATAATAATAACCAAAAAAAAAAAACACAACAAGATGAAGGCTAAATGGCAGGCAGATAGAGGCGAGAGGGGGGAGAGGGGACCTATGGATGTGTGATGAGAGTCAGGGACGTGTATTTGTCGAACTCTAGAGCCTGACAAAAGAAGAAAACGAAAAAGAGAGCTGAACAATATATTTCAGTAGGAAAGCCACGCGGTCACTTGATCCGCAGGAAGTGTTGCCGATGCGTGGGATCAGCAGAAAAGGAAAAAGCACACGCCAGAAAAGGAAGAAGAGGAAGGCTATCAACAGCACCGCTCAGATTTTCAACAGAAGGAAGAGATAGGGAGAGAGAAGCGACGCAACTTCAGCTATGAGCGCCTTTTCAAAGAAAAAAGCGGTCTCGTCCTCTCTCTTAGGTGTTCTTCCCGGAAAGAACGCAGATTAAAGGGTATTTTGAGGCGCAGCTTCAACACGGGGGAGAAGAAAAAAAAAACGACTACGACAGCAACAAAATATTTCTTCTCCTTCTACACAACAACACAGAAAAAAAAGAGGAAAATTAATAACCGAAGGATGAAGAATAAGGATGAAGAGACGATTAAGAACGCGAAATAACAAGGAGGAGAGGGGGAGGGAGGACAAGGCTGAGAGCGAACGCACCAACAGCGAAGTCGTGCTTCCTCCACTTATATCTCAATTGTTGAAAGGTTTGTCGTTACTTTGAGGCTGTGTTCTTTTGCTTTGTTCTGTTGTTCTAAAAGTAGCTAGCACCAGCGCGGGAGGTGGTGGTGGGGACAGTGCAGAAGTGGCACACGTGACAGAGCACGCGCAGCACAGCACAAAGAGCGCAACACACGCACGCGGAGGAAAGCGCGGAAGAGGGAGGGAGAGGGGAGAGAGGGGAGAGAGGGGAGAGAGGCGGGGGAGAGAAGTTGACGACGCATGTTTCGCAGGATACAGGAAGACCGCCTGGACGATCAATACTCTCTCCATTCTTCTCTACTTTTTTTTTTGAAGAGTATCCAACATTCCGTGACACGATCCACTTCTCTTTTAAATCATGAAAAGGAGAAGGCCGGGGAGCTCGATATGAAAAAAAAAAAGAAAACCTAAAGCTCTCCTTGCGATAACTTGAAAGCCCACTGACGCTTCAGCTGTGTCTTGTTTTTCTTGTTTCTTTTGGAGGGCATTTACGGGCTACCGCATTTTGTGTTCTATATGAAAGGCGAGGCAAAGCTCCTCATCCACAACGACAAGAATGAGGAATGATTAGCAACGCATGTTTACTTCACATAATGTACAGAGGAGCCTAAAGCACAACAAAGCGAAAGCGAAGAAGAAGAACAAGAAGACAGGCGGAGCGAGCCGCAAAATTGTATACATCATTGCAGAAGCGAAACAAGAAGAAGTGAGAGAAAAAAGGGGGGCAATTTACACCTGCTGCCGCACCAGCTTCTCCACTGCTGTTAGCTGCGTTTGCAGCGCATAAGCAGACGGCATGGTCGCTCGTGCCTTCTCCAGAATCATCCGCAGCCGCAGCAGCTCGTCTGACGGTGCTGCTATGGGCAACGGTGACGACATGGCGGAGGGCATCTGGTGCGATCCGGCGAGAGAGGCGAAGCTGTCTTCCGCGCCCGGCACCGCATGCGACGTGTCACGACGACTGCGTAAGCGAACGAGCCCCCAAGAAAGCAGCAGACGAAGCGTCTCAAAACACCGCAGCAGCACCCCTTCGGGCCGCCCACGATGCACCGTCAGCGAGCTTTTCGCGTCCATGGTCGCCTCGCAGATGTCGAGCAGGCCATGAAGGAAGCCGCTTTCCGTGTCGGCTGCGAGGGCGTGGCACAGGAAAAAGAAGCTGACTTCGTGGGGGTCGATGGCGGGAGAGTGCGCGGAGGCGAGATTCGTCTGCGAAAAGTGCGACGCCTTGCTGCCCAAGCTCAGCTGCGCACTCACAAGTTGATCGGCGGACGGCCAGAAGGCGGCTTCGATGCCCACCAGCGGCGGCTTTTTAGACTCCGATGCGCTCCGCATCACCTGGATCCCGGGCAGCGCATCGGTAAGCTTCCGGCTGCTCTCGATGTCCGCATCAGAGAAGCACAGCACCAGCACACAGAAGACGTGGATCAGGCCCTCAGTCAGGAACATATTCCTGGCGTAGTCGTGCAAAAGCTGCAGCAGCAACGCGAGGAAGTCTTCGCGCAGAAAGAGAGTGGTGCGCTGCGGGTCGAGCAGGAGTAGGTTCGCAATGACGTCGCAGGTCCACCGAATAAGACGGTTGGGCTGAAGGTGGCGCATGGTGGACTTGCGCTGCACCGCGCCGTGCACACGCAGCACGTTCACGAACAGCTGCGGTCCGCGACTGTGCACCACAACTTCAGCGCACCGCGCCGCTGATGCAAGCGACGCGGCTGTCGAGCTCATCAGCAGGTACGTGCCCCACTGCAGCACCGTCGGCTGGTGCACGTATTCCTTCATGATCTCCATCGTCGACACGACGCCGTCTAGGTGAAGGAACATGACGAGGTTGCGTTCGTTAATGCAGATACGGCACATGGCGGCGAGTGCGCCAGAGACGATGGCCTCGTCCTGCGGATACCCGTCGATGGTTTCTAATATCGCGCCAACACCGCCAATGAGGGACATTTGGTCCAGCTCGTTGCCGTTCTTCACCTGCGACAGGCTCTCCAGTGCGAGCTTCAGCAGCTGACGACAGTACGGAAAAGCGTAAAGGATGTGCGAGAGACTGTCAAAGCCGCTGTAGAACTCCTTGAAGACCGCGTCGTAGCTCGGCACCTTCTGGGGCAGCGGCTTTTTCACAGTGAGGGTGGGAGACGCCGTGGACGGGTAGTGGCCGCCATGGCCACTAACGCCACCGCTGACGGCGGTGGTGGCGGTGATGGTGGTAAGGGCGCTCGTGCGAGGAGATGCGCCGACCGTCTCGGGCAGAGTGCTCGTTCGGGGCGACGCCCCACTGTATCTCAGCGACGTCTTGGGCGAGTAGACGGCGGGTGCTGCGTCCTCCGCTTCCCCGTCACGTTCGCCGGGCGGTTCGCTCTCCTGGGCGCTCACCTCTGAAACTGGCGAGCGGCACATGCCGAGCAAGTCAGACTCGAACAAATTGCGTACAATCGACTTCATCAATAAGCAGATGCTGTGCCCGAGCCGCTCGTGCTGGATGCCGATGAAGTCACCGGCGGAGTTGAAGACCGGGCCGCCGCTGCACTCATCCTCGCTGGCGCTGGCCACCTTATACTCGCAGTAGTCTGCGTACACCGCGGCGACGTGCTGCACGCGGTAGCAGCGCTGGCCGGCGTTCACGTGCGTGATCATCAGATGTGCATCTCCGACCGTCACGTCAGGGATGGCGGAGAGCAGCAGCGGAACGGGAAGGGGCTGAATGGACAACAAAGTGTTCTTGCTAGAGGCCGCGCCGCCGCCGCCGCGCGAGGTTGCCGTGTGCGGCGTGTCTGCACTCGCCCCACAACCGCTGTCGTGACGGAGACAGCGGCCCTGGACGAATGAACGCTGCGACGACGCCGACGACCCACGGCTTACCCTGCTGCTGCTCTCCATCCCCACCCCACCGGCGGCGGCAGCCGCGCGTGGGCGGCGCAGCGGGGATAGCGGCTGCAACGGCACGGCCGAGTTCGTCGTCGTTTCTGCCGGCTCTGGGAAGATGTCGCACAACGTCAGCGTGAAGCCGACTTCTTCGGCCAGCTCCTCATCGGAGATGTCTTGGCAGCGGTAGAGAAGGTAGTCCGGCACGTCGCGGTTGGGGTCTTGCGGAGGGCTTACCGGGCTGCTGTCACTGTCGCGGCGGCCTGTGCATCGTGCGATGCCGCGCCGGTACTTCATGCTGTGCTCATTCGACTCCGCGGAGGACGTCACGAAGCCGTAGGCCCCACGCAGTGGCACTCGCATCGGCTTCGGGTCGTGGCCGAGGCTTGCCGCCGTCATCAGCCCTAGCTGATCCAAAAAGGTCACCGTTGCATCCTCTGCCTCTTCAGGAATGCACAGCACGTGTGAGGTGGTCAGCAGCACACCCAGCGGCGGCTGCTTCATCTCCCGCGCTCGCCGTGGGTCGTCCTCGCACGGCGTCTGCTCCAGCGAGTTGACGGAGTCGTGGGGGGCGCCGCGGAAGCTGTCGCGTGAGTGGCGGGCGTTGCTGCGCAGCGAACCTGTCTCACGCGACGGTGGCGTTGTCAAGCGAGACGCACTGCTACCACGGCCGCCGTGCGCGGCGTGCGGGTCCGGCGCAAAGTCGACGAACTGCCCTTGACCATCCATCACGGCGATTAAGATGGCGCTGCCACGGCCACCGCTGACGCGGCCGACGGCGTGGCTAAACTGTGCCACCTTGTCCACGGCGGACCAGCCCTCGACGGAGAAGTCGTAGCGGCCGACGGACGGGTCGTTGGCGGTCATGATAGCACGACGTGCCCTTCGGCCAGTTTTTTTTTCTCTCTTTGCTGTTATGTTTCTTTTGTTGTGCGAGGATGCGTTAGTGGGATGTCCTGACAAACCTCAAAAAAAGAGGATTTTGAAAGACAATCAAACGAGGCACTGCGGAGGAAAAGAAGAAAAAGGGGAAAAAAAGATGTGATAGTCCGAATGAGAAGGAGTGCGATGCATGCACGGAGATACACAACACTGAAGAAGTGGTACCACATGACAAGTCAACAGAGTTGAAACGCACACACACACGCATACGAGAGAACACAGCAAACGATGTACTGCCAGAAAGACTTTCATAAAAGCGCGCGAAGGAGTGGGGCTCTCATTTGTTTCCTTCTTATCCTGGCTCTTTTTCACCACCTCTGTAGGCAACATTCTTTCTTTTCTTTTCACAACACAAGACGCCAACAAAATTGGGGAGGTTATCCGCAGCAACGCTTGTTCTCCTGTTCATTTATTTACCTTTTCTTGTCGCGGCTGTTTCTTGTTGGCTTTTGTTTTGTTTTGTGTTCGTTGAGGATCGTTGTGCGGAATGAACGAAAGAGAGAGGGGGCCGCTGAAGCGAACTGACGCGTGCGAAAGGAGAAGTGAAAAAAAAGTGAAAACAAAGGCACAAGTAAGCCAAGGGAAAGCGTGGGTTACATCGCTGATAAAGATGAATTCAAAAGAAAAGAAGGGGAACAAAAAAAAGTAAAAGAAAAGAAAAATCCAAGCATCAACGTAACGCATCAGCATGTCGCTCAACGCACCGTTTCATGGGCTTCCCACCGCAACAACGAACGGTCTACAGACGGTTTCAAACATAGAGATACGCTTACAAATATGGCGGTGTGCGCGTGTTTGGGGGAGGGAGGAAACATATTTACTTCAATACAGGTAGGAAAGGGTCAAGGCGTCCTTCGCGGGGGTGATCTTACTGCAATAGGGGCAGCAGACAACCGTCGTCGTCGGTGGCGCAGCGGTGCGGGTGGTCCGCCGGGCCGTCGTGCGCAGGTCCAGATACGTCTTGTGCGCCACCACATGCCCGCACTGCAGCAGTGTCGGCGGGTTCAGCCAGCGGGCCTGCAGCGCGTCGGGAGACAGCAAGAGATTGCGCGTGATGGGTGGGCTGTCCAACTGCAGCGTAACAGCTCGCAAGGCGCGATGCGCAGCCGCCGGCAGCCCCTCGTCTCCCTCCATCAAAACCGCCTCGCTGTCCCCCTCCTCTTCCTCGTCGTACTCACCGTTGTTTTCACTTTCGCCCGCGACGACGGAGGAGTCGGAGTAGAGCGTCGTCGGAGTCTGCGTGAGAATGCGCGGCATCACCACCCGCTCCGATGCCGCCCGCATCCGGCGAAGAAAGGAAGCAGGGAAGTTCGACAGCACTACGTCCGCCCGTGCGGGGACGGCCATCGCACGAGCTACCGCCGCCGCGGTGGAGTTCGGCAGCGGCGGCGGCGGAGGTGGAGACGGCGTGGCGGCCGACACCGTCCGCATCGTCGTTGTCGTGGCTGTCCGGCCTGCCACGATGACGGCCGGCTGTGGAAGAGAGGCCGGCCCCTCCCGTCCTGCCTCGGTCCTTCGTACGGAGGTGCTCGGAGTGGGGCGGCCACCACCGAGGGCGCGCACCGACATCGCTCTCTCCAGTCCGCTGCGCAGCGCAAGAATGGTCGACGAGAATGGCAACGGGCTGCTGCCGGCCAGCGCGGGCGGTGCCCCGGTGTTGGGCGAGGCATGCGTCGCGTTCTGGTCCGTCGTCGAGGTCTCTGGGTCTGGCACGGGATACCGTATCTCCTGCGGGGGTAGGGGGGAGAGGACGAGGAGGGCGCCGCAGACAAGCGGGTCCAGGCAACGGCGGCGCGTGACAGGGCAGAAGCACATGGTGGATTGAAAGACCGGCTGCCACCTGCACTGCACACCCGCGGTCAACGTCGCGCTCACAGAGTTGCTGTGCAGCGCGGCGGCTAGGGACGACGAGGTTGGCTGCATCGTGAAGGCCGCGGCGTGCGCGTTGAAGTAATGCCGCCGCGACACATCCATCGCTCGCAGCTCCGCAAAAGCGCGCAGCCCGCCGCGCTCGCACAGCACATCCTCCACGAGCGCCTGGGTCAGCAAGTCACTGCTGACAGCGCGAATCAGCGCAAAGTTCAGCGTGGCCTTCTCCAAACGTCCGTCCTGCTCCTTCAGCAGGGAGGAGGTGTGCGGAACGTCGAGCGTTAACCCGCTATGTTGCTGGTGCGGCGGATGGCTCTGCGAGGCTGCCTTCGACGAAGGAGAGCTGCCACCCTCGCTGCTGCCGCCGCGGCCCTCCTCCTCGTTCGAACGACCGCCTCGGCCACTGCCACCGCGTAGACGATCCATCCCACTCGTCAGGTACCGCACAAAGCCTTCAATAATGACGTGTCGCGACTCACTGCTGGTCGAGTCAGATCGGCTGGTCCGTCGTCGTGTGCTGCCGCCGCCGCGCGGGTTGGGTGGAGAGTCGCCGTCGTCGCGGCGCCGCGGCAGTGGTGCGTCGTCTTCCTCCTCCTCGTTGTTGTTGCCGCTGCGGCGGGGGGTAGCCTCACTAGACTCCCGCCCTGCAGAAGTGCTGCTCCGCCCTGACTGCTGCTGCTGCTGCTGCTGTTGCTCCGCATCACGCATACTCCACTGCACCCCCGCAGCGCTGCGCAGCGCCGGGGAGGAGGAGAGAGTGCCAGGGGGCAAGACGAAGCTGTCGAGCACTTCCTCTTCATCGCCGCTTGCGGCTGTGGCTGCGGTTGCTGTCGTACCCCCTCCTCCGCCACCGCCGCCTTCCGTAGCCCTGCTAGATCGGCGCTGCAGTGCAACAACAGGACGTGGCTGTGGCGGTCGCGAAGAGGGCGACAGAGACGGTGACGACGACAACTGCTGCCGCTGTTTGTGCTGCTGTTGCAGCTGTTGCTTCCGCGCTTGCCGGCGCGCCACGACGTCGCTGATGTGCACGTCGTGAAAGACGTTGTTCAGAAGGTGGCGCGACTCCAGCCGGTCAAAGGAGCGCAGCAGGTGCGTGCTGACGGGGGCGACAAACTTCTCGAGGCCGTTGTCGGTAGAGAGCCGCGCCCCCGCCACGCCGGTGTTGGTGAAAATGCGCACGGCACGGCCGCTGCGCCGGACGTAGTGGAGGAGACGCTCCGCCGTGCCACCGCGGATGCTCCCCCGGCCGCCCGCCGTCGCCGTCGTCGCCGTCGCCTCGACGAGCAGCTGGACAAAGAGCTCGTACAAGGCGTTCAGCTTACGCGCCTCCTCGAGCAGCTCCGTCGTGACAGCCTCCACGTAGGCCCACACCGGCAGCGGCAACGAGAAGGGCGTGCTGCATTGCAGGGTGGAAGCTGCGTCCTCAGTAGGTTGCGACTGCCACGCCAAAAGGTAAGGCGTCACCGTCGCGAGGTAGCGTGCAGGCTGACTTTCTTTGCCCTGCGTGTTCGTGTCCTCCTGCTCTGCACCGGTGTTGCTATCGGTGGCGTTGCTGGTGGAAAGAACTTGCGCCAAGAGAGGGGCGTAGCCCAACGCATTCACCGGGTGCTGCCACGACAGCAGCAGCAGCGACGCCATCGTTGCCGGCTTCGCGGCAGAGCTCGCCGCTGACAACGCCGGGGTCACGACGGGGGTGTTTTCAGTCTCCCTTCGCGTCACGCCCCGCAGGTGCAACTCATTCCGCATTCGGGTCTGCATCATCTCCTGCTCCTGCACGGAGAGCAGCAGTTGCGTGGCGGCGGTGAGGGACTCTGAAAAGTGTGACATCGAGAGCTGGCTCGCTATGTTTGAGGATCGTGTTGTCGGCCAGGGAGGCAACCCCGTGGCACCACCAGCAGTGGAGGTGAGTAGTTTGGATAGCTCCTGCAGCGTCGTCAACAACGTCAGGTCCGTGTGCATCAAGGCGCAGAGCGCACGCAGCTCGCGCGCGGCCGCGCTGTAGTTGAGAAGACGCGCGCGGCTCTCCTGCGGCACTCGCACGTGCTGCTTTGACGCACTGTCCTCAAGGAGTCGTGCTCGGTGCGTGCTCTTCGGATTCGCCTTGCCTTCGATGACGGCGGCAGCAGCACGACGCGAACGGTTCGTCGGGTCCTCGCCGTGGCGCTCCAGCAGGTACACGTAGCGCTCGCGCAGAAAAGCGCCGCGCCCGTGCGGAAAACTGCGGCGCTGCTGCCGCTCTGGGCGTTGATTTCGCTGCGCCGACGCACGCGCCGCCGGCGTGCGGACAGCAGAGCCGCGCGACACATGTGGTGAGGGTGATGGCCGCAGCTCGGCCCCCCTTCCTCCGCCTCTGTCTTCACCTGTTGTCGCCGCCGCTGCTGATGCTGCTGCTGTGACGGCACCACGAGACGTCTCCTCTTCCGCTTCGCGACCAGCCGGCAGTCTAACGTCTCTAGCATTCCGCGTTCCCATAAGTTCACTCGATGGAGTCCCGCTCACGGTGACGTCGCCTCTCTCCAGCCAGAAGTCTTCGAAGGCGGTGAGGTGCGTCAGCTCACGACTGGCAGGCGCGGACTCTGGAGCAGTTGTCTCTCCTGCTGCTTCTGCCGCTATCACTGACCCTGTCGGCGGAGCACTCGGTGGTGTGGCGGTGCTGAAGGTGGGGATGCTGCCCTGCGTGAAGTACGTGTTGTCGTTGCTGGTGCTTCCCTGCACCGACGGCTCATCCGCGATGGACGAGTACACGGTGGGCGGCGGTGCAGAGTGAGAGGCAGCACCAGTAACACCGTGTTGCGGGCCGCCACTGGGGTCCGACGACGATAACGGCGCCGCATGCTGCGGCGGCGGCTGTTGTCGCTCCTCCTCGCGCTCGCCCTCCTCGGCTTCATCGGCGGAAGTAAAAAGCTCGTCCGCGAACGAGAAGTCGTTCCCGCTCGCCGCCGTGGCCGTGTCGGACGACGTGGCCGACGATGACGGCCGTGTAGACGCCTGAGTGGACCGGTGGAAGTTGTCGTTGAGGGACATGCGCTCCCGTGTGGCCGTCGTCGTCGTCGTAGTGTAAGAACGACGCCCGACACGCTCGCCGGCCTCCCCACCCGCCGCGTCTTGGTTGTCGTGGTTCTCCACTTCCCCGTCAGCGCCACTATCCGTGCTGCTGCTGCGGCGGCGGCTGCCTCGGTCGAGAGAGGGATTCGACGCCATGTCGTCGAGCAACGTGCACAGGTCGCGGATCTGATCAAACCACGCCGCCGTCGCGGGAAGCCGTGAAAGTGGAAGCGGCGAGAACGACGATGGTTGGGATGCATCCTGTTTGCGGGGGGGCGTGAGTGGTGCGGCAGCGTAGCTTATTGGGGCGGCAGCAGAACCGTCCGGTAACCCAGCGCTGCTGCGACGCACGAGGCCGCGCACCTCCTGCAGCACCTCGGCGAACTCCACCGTACCGCCATCGTTGCCATCCACCGTCTGCTCGCGCTTCTGGTTCGGTGCTTTGGCTGTCGCTACCGTCATGGGCACCATTTCCTCCTCGTTCCTGTCCTTGTCGCTTGCTGTCGGACCGGAGGAGTGCATCGCCGCCTCTCCGTCCGTTCCCCCGCCTCTACGCACACGGTCCTTCTCGCCACCGCCCATGACAGCAGCAGCAGGAGGGCACCCACGCAACTCACGCGTCATCGCGTTGCTGAGCGGGACACCGTCGGACCGTAGCTGCGCCAGAACTAGCGCGTCCACAGACTCCATGATCGTGGGCCGGCCGAGACGAAGGCCCGTGTTCGTCGCTTCCGTAATGCGCTGCGTCTCGTGAGGGGGGCGGCTACGCATCCGCTTCCCCTTCGGGCCTGCGCCACCACCGCCGTTGGAAGTACGAGCCGCCGCATCGGAGGCGGAGACACGTCGCGGCGGATCACCCTCTCCTTCATCCGCGGAAGAGTTGCTGCCCTGGCTGGGAGCCCGGGAGCCGCCGTGCACAAAGTTGTTGCTGCTGTCGGGTGAGCGAGAGGCGGCCCACAGCATCGACATGTCGTAGGGCGACTCCTCCGTCAGCCGCCGCAAGAAGTTGTCGGTGTCGCTGCGAGCACAGCGTCGCTGCCCGACCGCCACCACCGAACGCGAGGCCGCACGACCGCCGTTTGTGTCGTCCCGCTCCTGTCGGGAGGCGGTCGTCGCCGGTGTATGAAAGCCGTCGTCCTCCTCTGCAGCCTCCTGCGCCTCTTCCCTCGCACCCTTCCTTGTCGCGGCGTGCTTCTCGCTGCAGCTGTCATCACCGTTATCGTCATCGCCATCATCACGCCCGTGTCGGCGTGGGGTAAGTGAACGCACATTGCGCTTGCGTGGGCGCGGCGGCCACTCGACACAGTTCGCCAAGTACGTTTTCACGCTCTCCGCACACGCGGTGGACGGGAGTTGGGAAGCGGGAAGGTGCTGCAGGTCCACCCGATCCGCGAAAGAGTCGACAGACGGGAAGGTGGGCGAGGCCGCGTTCGACGGCTGCGTCGCCGCCGCTGCGGTTGTTCGGCCCGGTGAAGTCGACAGCGGCCGAGCGGCGGGCGTGAGAGCAGCTGGGGTGTCGGTGGTTCCCGCGGAACGCGTCGCCGGCCTGGCGGGCGTAGTCGTCGCGGAGGGCATCATCGATGCGGGGCTGCGCATCGAGTCCCCGAGGCCGCCCCCATTGCCGCCGCGACTGGCGAAGCTGCCGGGCTGAAGCTGTGGACTTGCCGTCGGTGTCACAAACGACAGTCGCTGCGGAGAGGAGCCGGGCGTGGCGGGTGCAGCTGCCGCGCCCGCCACAGCCGAGGCAGAGGGCGAGTACCCGCTGATGGACATGCGTGTCGCGACGCTGTTGCCCGCACGAACTGAATTCGGCGTCGAGACGGACGGCGCACGCCCTTGCGCCCCCGCCATTGTCGCCGCGCAGCTCTGCAGTTTCGGGTAGCACTCGGCGAGGTCGTGCAGCTCTTGCGTGAGCGCCTCCACGCACCGGCGCAGCGACGTCAGCTCCCGACTCACCTCAGCGTCTCCGCGTGTCGTAGCACTCGCCAGTGAGTCGAGGGTGGCGAGCAGCGATGCGTCCGTGGAAGATGAAGAAGAGGAGGAGGGCGCCTTCGGCATCGCGCGAGTTTCCGCATGTGTGGTGGAGAGATGCGCCGCGGCTACGATGGCGTCCCCGCTGGCACGGAAATCCCCTTCAAGATGACCAACTGCAGCGAGAAGACTCTGCAGGGACGCGGTGGCCATTATGACGGGGTAGGTAACCGATAAAAAAGGCAAAGGTCGCGCGAGGACGGGCGAGGCGGCGAACGGCGCATCGGTGGTGGCTGCCGGGCTCGCGACGGAACCGCCGTTGGTGGGCTGCGCCGCCTCGGATTCGCCGTTCGCGCCTCCCATGATGAGGAATGCGGTTGGTTAGGGGTTTTTTTTGCTGTTCTTGCTGCTGCTCTAGTACTCAGACGAACAGCACCGCCTATACAAAACAAAAAAAAGAAGAAAAAAGGAAGGAGAAGTGGAGTCCTAAGCGGGAAAAGAAAAAATATGAGGAATAGCCGTTGAATTCGGCTTGTTTTGTTGTCGTTGATGATGATTTGAGTTCACCGCAAGAGCAAAAACAAAAACGGTCGAAAATGCAACACGCCGTACAACGCCCTCAGCAAAGACACACACACACACCAGCAAAAAACAAACACAGAAAGTAACGGAAACAGGAGAAGTGAGAGAAGGTGCGAGCGTGTGGAAGACACACAACCCCCCGACCGAAAAACAAACGGGTGAAGAGAGAAACAGAAAAAGAAGATGAAACGGTCAGTCAAGCAGAGGAAGAAAAAGAGGGGGACGAAATCAATACCAAAGGAAAAATAAAGAAGTGTGTCAGCCGGAGAGAAGAAAAACACATGTAGAAAGATTGATGGAAAAATGAAAAAGAAAATGCTTCAGACTGAAAACGTGGAAAGCCACACAGCAACAACAACAATAAAAATAAAAATAGTAATAGTAATAATAATAGGGAGATGAAAAGTCAGCAGAAATATATATAGATAACGATGTGATGCGTCGTTGTACCCAAAGAAAAAGATGGAGAGACAAAGCCCACGGCAGCTGTAGGGCTGTACACCAAATAATAATAACAATAACAAGCGCACAGTCGATGAAGTCGGAAGTCAAGAGTGAAAAAAAAAAAGAGATATCAAGGTGTACGTTCTTCTACAGGTGAATTGGAGAAGAGAAAACGAGAAAAAAAGAAAATGTAGATGCCGCCTTCTCACTCACTCGCCCTCGCCCTTTCTCTCGTGCTGCTGCTTAAATTGCCACTAAATGTTTATATGAAGAAACACAGCAGCACCGCACAACGTGAAAAAAGAAAGAAACGAAGAGAGACGTCAGGTAGTCCGGCCGTGTTCTGTGGGCGCAGCTAGTAGTAACCAACTTTGAAGATCGTCGTCACGGGTCCGATGCGGGGCGCTTGCTGAGACGTATAATACCAGCAAGCGAACGTCTTCGTCGTCTTCTGTAAATACAGCAGTTCTTTTTCTGATTAGAAAACTAAAAATAAGGAATTCAGGGTTGCAAAGAAAGCAGTGGAAAAAAAAAGTGACGATGCGTGTAGTGAATGAATCAATGTGTATGTGCGGGGTATCTCTTGTGGTGGTGGTTTCGATTTCTTTTCGTGTGTGTCTGAAATGAAGGCAGTGAGCCGCTTTTACAGAGCAAGAGACGGCGATGCACACAAGAGAACCTTGGGCACACACACACACACAGTACCTAAATAAGAACGGCTTCGGTGAGCACTTCACTAAGAAGAAGGTACACAGCGAGAGGAAAGAGGGAGAGATACGAAGTGAGTAGTTGTGTTGGACGCCGTGCAGAAAGTCTCCGGATCATTGCTCGCCGAGCAACGAGCGAGAGCAAAAAGAGCCTACGACCCTTTCCGATTCAACGTCAGCGTGTGTGTACCCTTATTTCCAAATGAACGGATAAGGTCTGCTTCAATCAAGAAAGAAGCAGCACGCGAACACCTCGACGCGTGAAGGCTTCGAGCAACTACTGCGCTCCCTTGCAGAAACAAAAAGGACCACCGTATAGAATAGCATCGTAGTATCCACCGTGGTGCCGTAGGTGCTGACCAAAGAAGAAGAAAAAGGTGCTATATTTCTGTTGCGCGTTGCAATACCTGCTTCTATCACGTGGTAGTAAACAAAAGCCTCACTTCTCTGAGACGCACATTGACAATCAAAAATATAGAACTAGCAAAATGGGGAGAATGAACGGAGACAAGACAACAGTAATAATCATCGAAAAGAGTGCGGAAGGGTCGAAGGAGACGATGCGGCGAGAAGAGCGATCAAACACCACGCAAAACAAAAAAGGAGGGGAAATGGCCTTTCTCCTCTCCTTCTTCTACCAGACATAAAACAGGAAACGAAAAACTCGAAAACAGCAAGCAAAACCCCACACAACTCTGAAAAGGGAAAAGAGAAAAACTCTAGTCGACTACTCTCAGATCAGGAAGGAAGGAAGAAGAAAGGAGAAAGGAGAAAGATCAATAAAGTGCAAAACGGTGTCGTTACATCCCTGTATTGTTTTCATTTTCCTTTAAGGGTAGACGGCGTTATTTTCTTTTTATATTTATTTTTGAACCAATGAGAACTTTACGAAAGGGAGTTTCTTGCAGACTCAGATCGTCTGCATTTCCACCTCGGGGGGGTTGGAAAAGGGGCGGGACGGTGGGAAAAAAAGAAAACAGCCTTTCCTGGAAAAAGGTCGACTGGAGAGGAGAGAAAGGGATAGTAGTACAACATGAAGCTTTCGATTCATCTCCCGGCGATTTTTTCCTGGCGCAAGCTCTCAGAAAAAAAAGGTGGTCTCATTACACAACGCGCCAAACGGCAGCTCTGGGGAGGGGGAGGGTCTGCACACATGGCATTCGATACAACGACAACTGTACAAGTCTGGAAGCCTGAAATGAATAGAAATCTTTTTTTAATTCACATGGATAACACTCCTGCCAACAGAGAGAGAAAAACACACACGTAAAAAAATAGCAAATAAAGGGGGGGAGGGAAAACTAATTCATTGAGAAAAGTCATGCGGTGTGCACAACCACACTACGCCTTCTGTGCGTACGTGGAAGTGGAAATGTTTTATTTTGTGTATAGCGTAAACGAACAGAGAAGAGAGGCACAACAGCAGCTGGTTCAAATGAAAAGGTGTGTCCGTCAGAGAATCGGCGGGGAGGAACACGAGGCAAAAGGGGCAAAAATAAAAAGAGAAGAGAAGAGAGCGAGAGAAAGAAAAAAGCAACGAGCCGCCACATCGTTTTCGGCCTCGCACGCAACGCAGCACGCGGAGGTGCACATCACATTCGTACACATACTTGGAATTCGAACGTCAACAGGGGGAAAAAACAACTCCCTCGACCTCCTTCTGAAACGTCCACAAAAATAATTTGAAGAGAGAGAGAGGAGCATCAATCATCGAAATTCAAAATAAACTAATAATAATAATAATAATAAACTAATAAATCAAAAAGTGTCTCCTCCGCCAAAGGAAAAAAAAGAAGCACTTCTCATCAGTACTAAAAAAAAACACATTTCACACAAAAAGAGAGTGTTTACTTGATCGAAGATAATTGATACCAAGTGAGCGCGTTCATCTTCGTCCATACACACACACACTCTCTCTCCTCCTCCCTCGAAAGACAGTCGCTTCCTGCAGATGAAGCTGCGTGAAGGTGCTCAAGACGATTTGCTTCGTTTGCTTCAATAGGCTCTCCCTCTACGTTATTCACTAAACACCTTGGGCAGCATACTTGCGAACGAGATGCTCCGGTTGCTCCCGCATGCCTTTGATCGCCTCCGTCATAATGTTCTCGGGGATCGGGTTCTTCTCTAGCAGCACAATGACGTGCTCTAATCCACCGTACAGCTTTAACCCGCGGAAGTGCTCTGCCTGGATGCTTTCCGGCTTCAGCTTTTCTGGAAGGCTGTCGGTGTCGGCAAATGACGTGCTTGTATAGGACGTGGTGTCGAACTCCATGACACCCGACAAGTGGAACGTGTTGTGGTGTGTCAGGGCGAGGGAGAAGTATTTGCCGAGGCAGGCCTCCCGCACGTCCTCCAGCACCAGTGTCGGCGCCGTGACTTTGCTGCCCGACACCCCCAGCTGATTGCGGTCATTCACGCCCCAGACGTACAAGCTCGCGTTGTCGTCGATGCCGTAGCTCGTGTAGCAGCCACAGCCGATGCGGGTAAAGAAGGCGCTGTGGGCAATGCGGACGGGGGTGTAGTGGTGCTCCGAGTCCCCCATGCCGAGGCGGCCACCGGTGCCCACGCCCCACGCGTAGATTTCACCAATCGCGTTCAGCGCCATGCCGTGCCAGCCGCCGGCGGCGACTTGGATGATGCCCTTCAACCCGTCGATCAGCACCGGCGACAACACCACGCCGCGCGTTTCCTTCGAAAAATCGCGCATAATCATGTGCGACGGCACCACCTCTGGATCCGGTTCCAGGCCGACGCCGCAGCACTCAATCGTGCCCCAGCTGTACACGTAGCCCGACGCGCTCAGCGCCAGCGCGAAGTAGCTACCGCACGTCACTTGGATGATCTCCTTGTCGGCAAGCCAGGCAATCTCGCGCGGCTGCGAGATGCGCTGGTACTTCTTCGGGTCAATGCCGAGGCCGCATTGCGCGAAACTGTTGTTGCCCCACGAGAAGACCCGATCGCTCTCGGTGATTGCCATCGAAAACGAAAAGCCGGCGGCGACGGCGGTGATGATGGTGCGGGAGAAGAAGCCGATGCGGGTCGCCTGGGGGTACACCGGCACCCGGTCCTGCGTGAACACCTTCGCCTGAGCCGTGTCGAAGCCGAGCTGGCCCCAGCCGCCAATACCAAAGGCGTAGCAGCTGCCACGCCGGCTCACCATAAGGGTGAAGCCCGCGCCGACGCCGCAGGACAAAATGCCTTCTTTTAGCCAAATGGCACTCAGCGCCACCGGGACACCGCGGTGGGGCGTGCCGAGGACGAACATCGTCGTGCTCTTCGGGATCGTCAACGCGAGTCCGTGCGTCGGCCCGCTCTTGGTCCAAAGAACGGTGTAGTTTTCTAAAACCGACTGACATCGCACCATGCGCATGCCGTAGCCCACCCCAACGCCCAGTCCAAGTCCTGACCCGTACACGACGGCGTCGCCGTTGCCGAGGAGCAGTGTCGTGTGCATCCGCCCGCAGCTGGCGTGCACGACGCGGCGATTGCCGAGGATATGCATCTTTGTCGGCCGCGTCACGGCGTAATCGCCGACTACGCCGCACTGACCACCCTGATTGTCACCGCAGGCGTAGGCGTCGCCGGTGTCGGTGATGAAGATGGTGTGGAACGACCCGCACGCCACGTCCACCACACGCGTGCCGGCCATAGCCTCCACTAGCTGTGGCATGTACCGGTCATCGTGGTCGCCGTGGCCGAGCCGCGCGTTGTTGCCGAGGCCCCAGGTGTACACCGAGCCATCCGCCGACACGGCTGCGTAGTGCCAGGGACCCGCCGTCAGCACCGTGATGTTCTTGTCATCGAGGCTCTCGAGGTGGATGGGCAGCGTGGCGATGCTGCGCTTGTCGGAGTTCTTTTGCGGGATTAGATGCATCCCCTTTGCTTCGAGCTGCTTCTCTACGCTGGCGCGATCGCCTAACAGCGTCGCGTCGCCCCAGCCGTAGACGCGGCCGGACATGGTCCGCACGAGCATGCTAAAGTTGCTGCACGCAGCCTCGACGATCTTCTCGCCGTCGACGGAGCGCTTCTGCCCGTAGCAGCAGCAGGTGTTTTCCAGATCAAAGTGGCACTGACCACAATTATTCGCACCCCAAGTGAAGACGTTGCCCCTCAGCGACACACACGCGTAGTAGGCCGAGCCGGACGTCACATCCACGACGACGTCGTCGTTCGTAAACGGCGCCACATCCACCTGCCCAGGGCAGATGGGCATGCTCGCCTCGTTCGCAATCACGCGTGGGCAGAAGCGGGGATTGCCGACGCCCAGCTCACCCCACATACCACCGCCCATGGACATTAAGATGTTACGAATACCGAGCCACACAGAGGACAGTCCACTGCAGGCCATGCGGATGGGCTTGTCGTGTCCGCCGATCATCATGGGGGTGATGAGGTTGTAGCGGAAATTGGTACCGAGCTCGCCGTTGCGGCAGAAGCCCCAGCCGACGATGACGCCGTCGCCGCTGATGTAGCGCTCCATCAGCCGGCGCGCTGCGGAGGAGACGTGCTCCATGTTGGAGTAGAGTACTCCCACGGTCTCCAGCACTGTCGACGGCTGCGGCTGCGGCTGCGACGGCTTCTCTTCCTGTTGCGGGTGATGTTGGTCTAATTGCGACATTGTGCCTGAGGGGTTTTATCTTCTACTTTTACTGATACACAGCACCAAAGTAACACATAAAGAAAAAAAGAAGTAGCAGCTCCACGTGCTTCAAGGCCAGCGCTTTCGTGTACACGCGAGAAACGACGGGATCGTGCGAGAAGGATGTACGCTACCTCGCAGCGAGCGTCTTGTGTGGGCGTAAGTGCGAGTTTCCCAAAACTTCAAAAAACAGCGAGTTAGGCGGCAGATTGCTTTGCTGTCAGCGCTCCCGGATTTGTGCGGGTGGGTGTGGGTCGCAAAGGCACGACACTGCAGTGAAAATGGTAAGGAGAACGTGGAAATGCGCACGAGATCCTCAGCACCACTGCAGACGTAGAGAAGAAATAAGGAGTGCTAAAGAAGAGGGCCACAGAGAGAGAGGAGAGAGAGAAGCTGAGAGAGAGAGAAAAAGAACGACAAGGAAGGAGAAGGTATTGGCGGGTGTCAGACACCTTCGTCGCCAAAAAAAAATGATAATAATAATACAAAACAAGTTAGACCGCCTTGTTTGCTTGACTGTTCCGTTTTGCATTCATTCTTTCTTTCTTTTGCAGCAGTGGTCCGCCGCGTTAACGAAGTTCTCCGCTGAGCGGGAATATGCAAGAGGAGGGGAGAAAAAACATAATGCGTTGGAATAAAGCGGTGTGCCGAGAGAGCGGGAGAGAGCGGGAAAGAAGGAAAGAGCAAGCGGAGGGGGGGGGTACAAACTGCTGTGGCGGTGGTTTGCTGCTGAGTCCAATAAAAGTAATAATACACGTGAAACCTAATATATATGTAAGGGCTTCCATTCAAAGCTACTACACGCCAATTCGACACCACACAAGCAGGCGGATGAACTTACAGGGAAAAAAGAGGAGGAGTTCACACGTCTTCGCAGGTTCGACGTCAGCGATGTGTGTGGAGTATTAAAGAAGCGTGATCAACAAAACAACAAAAAACTTTCCCTCCGTCTTAACTCTGCGGTTGCAACGTCTTCTTTCCTACATCCGCATCTCGTCACCGCTGCGGGGCTCATGCAACAGCACTTTCAGTCCATCCTGTGCCATGCGCACCTCCTTCGCCACCGGTCGATGCTTCTCCATCACAACGCAAATCTGCTCCCAGCCGGCAAAGCATCGGATGCCAAAGACACGCTTCTCTTCCGCTGCTGCAGCGATGGGAGCAGTAGCAGTAGCAGTAGCAGTAGCAGTGGTGTTAGTGGTTGGTGTATTCGCCGATTTTGCGCCGTCATTTCTTGTAGGTACTCCTGTGTTAGCAGGTCTGCTGGAGAACGTCTTTGCCTCTACGGAGTTCGCAGTCGCCGCAGGAAGGGAGGTAGCGACGCGCAAAGCGACGTTTGGGGCAGTCTTTGTGGGGGGCTGGGCCGGCCGTGCGGCACCACTCAGCGGCGCCGGTGGCGGAGTCGGTGGTGGTCGGGGCAGCAGCGGCAGCGACGTCAGCGAAGACGAGCCGATGAACGTTGCCTCCGCTGCCGGCGTCTCCGACACACGCGGCGTGTGCTCGTGCCACGGAGTCTCCAGCGGAAAAAGCAGCAAACCCTCGACGTCGGCCGCGGAGGAGGCGCCGCGGTCAGGATGTGTTGTCTCAAGAGCAGCGCGTTGCACAACGCTGTCGAGGAAGTCCTCCTCCGCCTCCGCCTCCGTCTCCGCCGCCGCGTCGCAGTCAACGCTGGAGGTACGAAGAGGCGCCGCGGCCTCCGCTGCTTCTCGAGCCGCACCCGCGACGGCTGTTGGGCGCAGGTGTGACGTCCGCGGCGCGGATGGCAGCGGGACAAAAACCTCTCCCTCCTTCACCATCTTTGATGCTGTGGCGATGAACGGCGCATGCGGTGATGCCAATGTCAGCCTAGGAGCCGCGCCCGTTGAGCTACTCATCACAGCTTTCCAGTCAGGCGTTGTGGATGCTTCGTCGTAGTGGGGACGACTGGTGGACGGACGGACCGGCGGCAAACGCGGATTTGAGGCAGGGGTGATTGTGGGGGTGGTAGTAGTGTGTGTCGGGGGCTCTGCTGACGCTCTGGCGCTGACACCCACGGGAGGTTCTGTGTGATCATCACTGCTGGAGGGACGGGGGGGTGCACCAGTGGACTCACGAGACGGCGACACCACCTTCGGTGCCAGCTGCTGCTGCAGCTCCTGTTGTGCCACCTCCTTGAGCGGGGAGCGCCGAGACTCGGCTACCGCGGCGCACGACGCACGTTGCACCGGCAACGCCGCGGCGGTGCCCGCAGAGGATGGCGGCAGCCGTGCGCTGGCAGACGGGTGCATCTGGGGGGAAACCCTCCCCGATCCGACGGAGGAAAGGGTAGAGCTGCTGTCATCGCCCTCCTCGTCAGCATCGTCTTCGTCTTCGTCGCCTAAGTTGACCACCTCCCGTTTGCTTGCGTGTGTCGGCGGGGCGGGCGCTGCACTGATGGCTGCTGCTGCCGCCTCCACCCTCGACAACTGGGAGGACCCCATTGAGGAGCTCTCGCCCTGCCAGCGCCCCCGCACCGGCTCGTTCACTTCAATCGAGAAATGCGGCTGCGGATCACTGTGGAAGGTTGGCAAAAAGTACTTGCGACCGCCGTGACGCACCCGCCCCGACACACGCACCTGACCATCCTCAAACACCGCCAGGCCAAATTGGCTCGTAAAGGCGGCGTCACGCACCTGCCGGGCGACGCAGATCGGTGTCTGCATTACCCGCACCGCGTCCTCTGGTGCAGCCATGCCATCCGGCTGCTGCGGTGTCGACCCCGCCGCGGTCACGTGAGCACCGCCCTCGCAACTGGGCGGCACTCCGCACTCGCCGTACATGTTCACCCCCCACACCCACAACGCACCGTCATCGGTAATCGCGAAGGAGTTGTGGGCGCCGCAGCCGATAGTGCGGATATGCTCCGTCAGTGCCACCCGCACCGGAGTGAAGGCGGCCGACGTGACAGAATCAGCACGCCCAACAGCAACAGCAGCAGCAGCAGCCCCGCAGCCGAGAACACCGACGCCCCACGCGTAGATGTTGCACGAGGCCGTCATGGCAATGGCGTGTCGCCGACCTGCTGCAATTGCGACGATGTCGCGCAGGCTAGGAATGGCGGTTGGGGTGCTGACGTTCAGCTTGCGCGAGTCTCGCAACTCTCGCCCGAGTCCGCAGTAGGTTGCCTCACCATGCGTCAGAACGTCGCCGTCACCGGTCAGCGCGATCATGAACGTGCCACCGCATGCCACCTGTACAATGCGCTGCTGCTGCCCGTAGCCGCTGAGTCGCACGGGGGTGTACACGTAGTCCACCTGAAGTGGCTGGCCCAGCTTTTGACGCTCGTTGCTGCCCCACCCGTACACCGCCCCATTTTGGTCAAGTGCCACGACGTAGTCGGGTCCGCAGCGAAGGTGCTGGATGACCACCCCGCTGGGCAGCTGCACCGGCGTGAACTTCGGCGTCACGGTGACGTCGTCGCTGCTGGCGGGTTTCATGCAGTCGCCAATGCCCAGCTGCCCTCGCTCGCCGCGACCGATCGAGACGAGGGAGTTGTTCTCGGACAGCACGACGAGGAAGCCGACCCCCGAGGCGGCGCAACGCACGCCGCTGCGCACCACCACACTCAAAATGCGTGACACCTCATCGATGGTAGAGCAGCCCACGGTCATCAGCGCGGTGCGGCGGGGCAGCGCGCCGGCGAGGCTGTGGAAGTGTCCGCACTGCAGCGTCAGGCTGACGTAGTTGGTGAGGATGCGCACTGGGGCGCAGAGTCGGGTGCCGTAGCCCAGGCCGACGCCACTCGTCCGGTACGACCCGCAGGCGACGACGTCGCCGTCTTGCAGGAGCACGCAGGTGTGTTCCCGTGCACAGGCCACGGCGACCGCCTTGCCAGGCAGGGGCAGCGCCATAGGGAGGCGACGCGGTGATCGGCCCCGCAGCCCGAGCTGACCTTCCGCGTTTTCGCCAAACACGTACACGCTGCCCGAGCTGGTCAGCACCGCGGTGTGCGCGCTCGCGCAGCTGGCGTCGACGACGTAGCACATGCTGAGTCCCTGAACAAGCCGCGGCTTCACCTCCGCGCCGTCGGTGCCGTGGCCCAGCCGACCACCGCGGCCGACGCCCCACGTGTACACCTCGCCGCGCTTTGAGATGGCCAGCGCGTGCCATGGACCGGCCCGCACCGCCGCCATTGGGCAGTCCGTTTCGAGCTCCAACCGCACCACGTGACGCGCGCACTTGCACTGATCCGGTGCCAAACTCTCTCGCTGTGCCTTCTCCGCGGTGATGACGCCCAACATTGAGGCGATGCCCCACGTGCCCATCCCTCCGTCGTCGAAGAGCAGTACGCCAAAAAACTGACCAAAGCAGATGTCACGGACCTTGTACGCGCAGGTCCGCAGCCGGACAGGTGTCAAGACGCGGCTGAGGTCTGGCAGCTTCACGCATTGTCCATATACGTTGTGGCCCCAGCAATAGAGGGTGTCGTCGCCGGCAAGTGCAACAGCGCACGCCGTTCCCGCCGCGACGCGTGTGACGGTCTCGTCCTCCTTCAGCAGCACCCGTTGCAGACAGCTCGTCCCCGACTCGGCGTAGCGCAAGCTGCGCATGCCAATCCCCAGTTGACCGTTCTCCCCACGACCGCAGCTGTAGAGAACGCCTTCGGTGGTGACCACGTAGGTGACGGAAAGTCCACACGCGATCGCCGCCACGCGCGCCGTCGTGTAAACGGGTGTGGGGAGGTAGACGTACTCCTCGCATCCTGACGGGCTCGATGGCGCGCGGTGCGGACCGTTTTGAGCGTGAGTGGCCGTCGGCGTTGCAGCAACGTCGGAGTAGCCTTGCGGACCCGACGAGACGGCCCGCGTGCTCGTCAGCGGTGTCGGGGCCTTCTCAACAGTCGTCGGTGGGCTGTTGTCGTGGTTGCTGTGAGTGTTGGTGGCGGTGGGAACTATTTTATTTGGCTTTGCTTCGCTAGCGGTGGCTTTGCCTGGTGCGTTTTGCTTCTGTGCCGCGGTGGTGGCGGGGTTGTTCAGAGGCGCAGAGGCTTTGGTGGGCGGGGCTGGCGGCGGTGCGATTGCCGCGGGGCGGTCGGAGGAGTCAAACCCGCGTAGGGGGCGACGCTGTCGTGACGGTCCGAGCGCACCCTTCGCCGCAGAGCCCCAGCTCAGCAGCTTTCCGTGATCTATGTACTGCTGCAGCAGCAGGGATTGCCGACACAGACGCTGGTACGGAGCAGCAGCCGTGTTTGCAGGAGCGAAGTTGTCTTCATTGTGCACCAAAAAAGTCGGCGTCTCGGCCTCCGATGTAGGGCCTGGCGTGCTGCAGCGCAGAGCTGCGAGTCGCATCCTGCCAAACTCTCTTCCCGCGTCGCCGCTCTCCGCAAAGCCTTTGCCAGTTTTAATAATAGACTTCTGCAAGTCACGCGGCGGGCGCGGAAGTTGTTGGCTTTCCTGTCGCCACGCGTCGAGGCGGGCCAAGTCGTCCGTTGTCGGCAACCGCGGCACACACCCAAGGCCGTAGTAGGAAGAGAAGAGCACAACGGGGGTGGGGAACTGCGCTGGAATGGTGATCTCTGGAGCCGCGGAATACGCCACCGTTACCAGTCCAGGACTGGGCGAGACAGGAGAGTCCGGTCTGCTGATGACGTTTGTGTCTCTAGCATTACCCTCACCACCAGGTGAAGACGCATCCTCATAGAGCGGATTCACTGCGAACGGTGCGTTGATGGGCTTCTTTGGCAAGTCTCGATACCCGCGCGTTGCGCGCAACGGCATGTCAAACGATACCCCAGGGATGGACACCAGTAAAGCGCTCCGATTTTGAATGTTAGAGGGTCGTGATGAATTTGGTGCCCCGTCGCGCGGAGGCGGCGGCGACCGCGCGTGACTCCCACGCGAAGGCCCGCTGCCGGCAATGTTGCCGGAGGTGCTTCCGGCGTGTTGCTGCGGCGACGCACGTGCTGCCGTTTCCGACAAACTTACTGCCCCGGGAGAATGTTGTGCGCTCTGCCCAGCCTCTAAGCAGCCGGTTAACATGTTGATTGAGGTCTCGTTGTGCAGGAGGTCCTGTGGTGTACACCCGTAAAGCATCGTCAGCAGTTTGACGAACATAATCACGTAATAGCGCTGCGCCCGTCCTAGACCGAAGTACGCATCAAGGCACAGGTCACGACAGCGCTGGAGCCCTAAAACGAGGAGAGCACGCTGCACCTCGGAACCCTCTTCTGACTGCCGTGTCCCTACCTGTGCCAGAACGCGGGTGGCGAAAAATGCAGGAGGACTAGGAAGGCCATAATCTTTGCCATGTGCGCGCCGCAGCTCCGCACCCTCTTGGATGAGAAGGTTGATTATGGCAGTTAGGGTCCTAGTGCCAAGCCTATGGTTTTCATGTGACTTTCTGGCATCGATAAAATTTACTATATCAAAAAGACTGGAAATGTCTCCGTCACAAAACCGTTGGCACGCAGCTTCCATTGGCCTTCTGAGAAACAGAATTAAAAAAGAAGAAAAGAAGACGCCGCAGCGTAAAAACAGTCAAAACAGAAAAAAAAAAGGTTCAAGAGGGTTATTTCCTGCGAAACTTGTTAAACTGGGCCACTAACAATAGGATAAAACTATCACAGAAATGCCAATAAAGGAAAAAATCCAGCGCCCAAACGCAGCCACAAAATACGAGAAAAAAGCTTATCGTGCACTTTAATATGCTCCTGAATGATGTGGCGGTATGAAAGTCACACAGTTTGCAGTACTAGTAAAGTCGGACGGGAAGTCACAGACGCTGACGCAGTCACAGATACCTTTGAGAAGGTCTGCAAAGCTCACTGTGATGAGTGGTAATGCGAGAGTCGTTGGTAGGGGAAAGGGGGGAAGAATGATGGAAATAACAAGTCCATAACGTTACAAGAAGATTGCGGCAGCCAAACAGAAGCGAAGCTGTATGTACCGAAAGCGAGACAGGTGGCTCTCAAGACAATGCTGACGCAAAACGATCATGTCAGCAAATCCAAAATTTGAATGCTGTTGAAGTTGAGAACAATACCAGCCCATTCATCCAAGCTTGGCAGTTACAAAAATACCACTAAGTTGGGCCCAACATTCGGTTAAATTGTAGGCTAATTCAACAGCAGGACCTCATCAAACAACGCCAACGAAAAGAGCCGCGACATAACAAGAACGAGAAAAGACGCAACACCATCGCAATCGCTGCACAAATGGTTTGTTTCCATAAGGAGACGGATCTTGTTGCATGAAAGCAGCGGTGCGTGAGCGCATCTCATTAAGCTCCATCTTTTACTTCGATAACAGTTGGGGCTCACCGTAAGAGGGAGCAGTTCACTTTCGAAGCTTTCCGGAAAACGCAGTGATCAGAACTCTTCACTGCGAAAAAACGTGATGCCGTGACAACCATTGAGGGTAGGATTCCATCTCTGAGCTGTATAATGCTGGTACTACAGCCTCTTCGCAGCGTTCCACTGTAATCCCTTTCTGACCTGATCCTGACGCCGCAGTTTCTTGAGAAGCGGATAAGAAAAACGACTCTCCTTTCTCGAAATCACTGTTGAGCTCGTCAGCGGCAAGGATGCTGCTACGATAATCAGCAAATTTAATGAATGCAGTGCCAAGAAACCGTCCGGTCTTTTGGTGGCGCACAAAACGAACGTCGGTGATCTCACCAAACTGCGAGAAAACTGTTGCGATGTCACCTTCCGATAGCTGCGGTGTACCATCATTCTCAGACGACCCAAATTGCGCGTGGCTTAAGAGGCGACGAACCATGATCCATGGTGTCGCCCCAAGAAGTGCATGATACTCCGCTGTATAAGGTCCAGAGTTTCCACTGCGAAACTTCTTCATCGTTGAGTCTGATTGGATATATATCTTCCTTTTTGTGTTATTAGGGATAGCGCACACAATAATAATAATAGTCAGAAGAGACGAAGAAGAGTTCGGTTTAAAGAGACCAAAGAAACATGACTTAAACATGCCACTGCTGTCAAAGCAAAACAAAACGACATGTTCATTTTCTTTTACTTGCTGACAGCAATTATCAACGCATATATTATTAAGTAGATCGCTAGAACTAGCCAATAAAACTGAAGTGTTAACGCTCCTTTGCAATGACTCACAAAATAAATGAGAGATACAACTAACAAGGCAAAAATATCAACACATCGTTGCAATCACATTTCCTCCTTGCATCATTACAATTGATATTATTGTTCTGAAGGGTGTTGATGGAACTATGAAGATGTCTAAAAAAACAATCTTTAAAAAAAAATGAAGTGATGCAGCATTTTTTGTGTTTCAGTAATGCTTAAATGCAACATCAAGCAACCCAACCTTTGAAATCAATGAACTCCACACAAAAAAAGGTGGGAAAAAAAAAGCTCTTCTACAAGGGGAAAAAACTCAATCATCTAGCTAATAAAATCTGGCCTCAGCAACGAAAAGGGAAAAATGAAATAGAAAATCTTGAGCAATCAGCAACGGAAAGAAAAAAGAAACGCAAGTAAGCAAAAAGTCCAGACGGGCGCTGAAAAATGAGAGAGAAATATGTCTAATAGATTTTACGAAACGTACATGGCGTTCTGAGACTTAAGATCGGCGAAGGTGAAACTCTTCGTCGGTATTCCCCAGTCGTAGCTCGCAATTTCCTCCATCTCGGACGTTTTCTGCTCTAATGCATGCTGCACCTTTTCTTGCTTCTCCTGCTCTTCAATCTCTTTCTGCTTGAGGAAAGACACTGTAACACTCGTAGGTCGCGCTAAACGCTCAAAAAATGCTCGGTTTTTCAACGGTTTCTGTCGCGACGGTGAACTCCGTGGTCGAGAGGCAGACGCTGCTTCCCCGCCCACTGCAACCTCTTCCTTCGTGTCTTCCTTGCGCTCTTTACCCTTATTCCAGTCAAAAGGCGCCTCACTGCGCTCCTCTTGACGTTTCAGTTCGAGAAGTCGTTCTTGCTCTGTTTTTTCACGGTTGTAGCGCTGTGCGTCGGCGTACAGGCGAACAAAGACTTTCTCTGAGCTTGTGTTCTGTTCGGCCGCTGAACGACGTGGATTTACTGCTGTTGAGCGCGGACCATATTTTTCGTTCATTTCCGCTGCCATCTCATCCACCCTCTTCTGCGTGCGACGACTTTCGGCAGTTCGTCGTATGTTTTCTGCGTTATTGTAGAGCTTGTCGTATGGCGCTTCCTCACAGTCACCAGGACTGTCGCGGGGCGGATTGGTTCCCTCACTGCCACGATACGGTGATTCGTGAACATTGTTGCTGCGCCGTGTGGAGGACTTGTTGATCTGTGGATGAAACGTGCAGTTTTCTTCTTCATCACGAATTTTTTCTTCTTCGTCAGCTTCCTTCTTCGAAACGCGAGACTGATTCCTCACATGTTGCTGTGGCTGCGACAGTGCAGCTGGGTGAAGCATTGGAGAAGTAGCTTCGCCGGGACGAGGATTGTAGTCACGTGGCAACCGATGCATCGCCTCACTATCGTCAACTGAAGCGATACTCTCGCTTCTTTGAGAACGCGAGTCGCGCGACATTGGGGTGCCACTCAGAAACGAAGATTTTCGTTGCTTCTCCTGACGGTCGCCACGTCGTTGTTCGTAATCGCTATGCGAAGTCAAAAGTAAATCCTCTTCAAAGCCACGGCGTCTGTTTCCGCGAGCAGCGGTGCTTGACGGAATTGTCGTCCCGCGCGGTTCGTTTGTAACGGAGCGCTGAGTCGTTGCAGATGGTGAATTGTGACCTCGGTGAACATCGTCACTTTCCGTGTCTCGAGTGGCTGTATCATTTCCTCCCCCGAACTCGTTGCTGTGTGGGTTTACTGCCGCAGGATATGTCGGCCGAGCTGGTCGCACTTGAGGTCGCGCGGTTTCTCGCACAATCAGCCTTTCAGCCGCTTTTTGAGTGTAACTACTCGCGTCACTCGAATTTCCTTCTGAGATAGGTCTTTGGAAGCGATGGCCGGCTTGGGCACCTGCGGTGTTGTTCGATCGCGTAGCGCCGGCGTCACGTGGCTGAGCACCACCAAAAAACTGCTGATACTGATCCGAAAGGCTGCCTCCCTTCGAAATCAACTTTGGCTCGTCGTCGTCATCATCGTCGTAATGACGTTGTGAAACTTGCTGGGGAGCACGCTGAGGAGCTTCGCGGAAGTGCGGCAGTTCTCTGTTTTCATCCGCTGCGCGCACGTTTGTCGAAGGCGCCGTGCGCTCTGATGATCGTGCCCGTGAGTCAAAATAGTTGAGCTGCTCCTGCGGTATGTCGTATGTAACACGAGAAAAGTTTTGGCTGTCCATTTTCTTTGAAGTGCGTGAGAATATGCTTTGTTTGAAATGAGTACACGTAACTTGTGCTTTTCAAAAAAAAATCCTGAACCGTAAAGAGTATAGACGGGAGAACCGAAGCCTAAGCAGCCAAGACGCAGAAAACCAGATCACGATGCAGACGATGAAGACGATGAAGAGGAAAATAAAACGACAACAGGAAACGCGCCCGCCAGAAAAAAATGAGTTCTTAAAAAAAAAGATCAAAACAAAAGCTGATGAGATGATGATAAGCTTGAAGTTCTCGATATAGGGGAGAAAAAAAAGACACTAGATATTTTCTCTTTTCTGTGACAAAAAAAAAAGGACAGGGATAGCATGGAGGACAAACTGAAGGAAACAGTCGGGAAACTGTAGCTAAGCAAATGCCTATAAACATACATCGCGCGTAAGCTAGTAGCAATAATAATAATAATAGCTGTACTAGTAACTTCAGTTCCAGTTACAAAACTCGTCTTGAAAACATCGACATTGTTTTCTAACTGGCAAGTAACCGTTATAGCTTTCTATGCTGAGTGTGTGAACTGCAAGAGTACAGAGCGGAAAATAAGCCCAATGAGGTTTCGTTACAGACTCCATTGCTGAAAATAACTGAAAAAAGCTTTGCAAAAGAACAACGACGACTGATACATAACTGTCTGTTCAAAGAGCAGATATCATCGAAGCAAAGTGAAAGAAACCAATTATTTATTCGTTTCTTTCAGTGATCATCGAATAGCGCAAAAGTGGTGAGCTCAGTATAAATTCAACAAAACTCGCTTAAATATCCAAGGAGCGCTTTACACGTCAGTGCCTAACTCAAAACGACTGAGTCTATCGTAGCGCTGTTGGGCGCGGGTCTCCGCCTGTCTTCGATAACGGTACACGAAGAAACTACTCATCGTCAAGGTGCAGGCACAAAACACCTCAAACATGATAAACGGCATGCTGCTCTCCGACGCATCGGCGTTGTTGGGACACTTCATGCCTTCCATCGTGTCGAAGATATGTACGCTGTGGATGGTGGAATTGTTAAAAAAAAAAAAGAAAAGAGAGAGATAGTTGAGATTCAAGCGACTTGCAATAGAAAGCGGTAAGGGGGAAGAGAGAGATGCAGCTTCCGTGGGATTGGCTAACGCATTGAAGTTTTCTTCTGCAGGTGGGCAGTGCCTTTTGGGCACTAACCTGGTGTGAGCGAGTGTCATGCGATGCACGCAGCTTAATGCGCTTCAGGGTTTTCTTTTTCGTTTGAAATGCCCAGGGCGAAATACTGAAAATGTATGCGGGGTTACGAAAAAGCTGCCCACAACTCTCGGTTTTGGGTGAATAGCAGCAGCAGCTTCTTTTTTTATGTGCTCGGTGCGGGGCGCGGGGAAAATCCGCTTGGTTTGCGGCTTTCGGGCTTGGGCGCGCCCGGGGAGGAGGGGGGGGGGGGCCGGCGCGCGCTCCGCCCTGGGGGAGGCGTGGACCTTGGCGCGGGGGGGACGCCCCCGCCGCCCGCGCCGGGGCCCGCCTGGGGAGGGGGGAGCCAAAAGGAGGAAAGGGAAAGAAGGACAGCGGAGGGACAGGAAATTTGGCGCCCTCGCCCCCCGGAGGCGCAGCGGATTTCAAAGCGCAGAAGCCGAAAGAAACGTGGAGCAAAGGCTCGTAGTCAGACGGAAATCGGTGAAGAAGCACGCGCACAACGCTGCTCTCTTTTTCCCCCTTTTTTCGTCTTTGCAGGTGCACCAGAAGCATCGGCGCACGCTTTGATTGACGCATTACCAGTTCCATCCTTTCTGATCGTTTGACGCAAAGATACATACAGAGAGAGGCAGCACAACAGAAACAAGGCGTTTTAACGTTACGCTGATCGCTGACAAAAAGAAACGCTCTAGAGCAATTGGAAGAAATATAAATAAGGGAGTTGGGAAAAAGCCTTCACGGGATGAATGAAAAAGTTGCATCGTCGCGCTTCACCACTTCGCGCTCGATCAGCTTCTCCAACACTTTCTTAATATCTCGCTTTTGAATCGACAGTTTACTCAAGACGGCTCCGACGCTGGTCATGATCGCTTCCAACGGCAGCGGCCCCTTCTCCTTGAGTTGTCGCACAACGGCCCCTTGAATCGCAAACGCGTGCGTTTTGTCTGCGCGTGCAGACGGGCTGTACTTTCCGGCGTGGCTCTGATGCGTGTTGAAGTCTACGCAGCGGAGATCGTACCCTTCCTGTGCGCTACCCTGTGCGGCGATGTTGGCCGCGTCGAACACGAAGACGTTCGACGCCTTCTCCTCCAGCAGTGAGGTTTGGAGAAAGGGCTTGAGTGCGCGGAGACACTCCGCGCTTGTTGCGGCGATCCGCTCGCACAGCCCATCCAGCGTCCACTCGCTCGTCGCATTCATCGCGAGCAAGAGACGCGTCTGCAGCAGCGACACCACAAGCGTCACCGGCGTGGTGCAACCTGGCACACACATCCGCACCCGACAGCCGGAGTGCTCCGGTGAAAACAGCAGCTTGCGGCCGTGCTTCACGGCCTCGTACGTGCTAATGTGAGACCGGACAATGGAGAGCAGCTCGACAGGGATGAGCCGCGTATCGAGCTCGCGTGCGCGCCGCACTTCTCCCCACGCGTAGGCGCCGAGCACGCAGGGCCGCACCGTCAATTGATTCTCCACCGTCGGCACCCGCCTATCGCTGCGGCTCGCGTCGTTCACCATGTGCATACAGTCAAAAACGAAGCCGAAGTTGGAATCTCGCATCAGGAGCCCCGACAGCAAGCTCTCCTCCCGCGCGACGAAGTCGGTGTGGCGCTCAAAGCTGAACATGTTCGCCACGATGCGCTCCTGCAAGAGGTGCGTGTAGGCCTTGTTGAACTCGTCCTGCTTGGAGGAGAGGCGGTACAAGACGGCAACCCAGTTGTCTGCCTTTTCGAGCTCGCTCAGCGGCGCCGTCTTCACCACCTCCGCGGCGTTGCGGGCGAGGCACTTGGCGAGCTTCGCCGCGTTGTCGCCGCCCTCGCCGCCTCTCTCGAACTCGGCCAGGTTCGCAGCGATGCCGTCGTGAATGGCGGAACGCAGACGTTTGGAGTTGTTGAAGACGCGGTCGACAAAGACTTCGTAGACGTGCAACGCATCGCGCAGCACACGCAGCGCCACCTGGGGCTCACTTGCACCGGCCGTCGCGCGCAGCTCCCGCGCCGTGTACTGCGCGACGGTGCTCTTCAGCAGGTCTTCCATCCACGACTTGTCGGCTCCGCCGCCGAGCAGCGAGTAGAGAGCGACGAGGAACTCCTTGTGGTGCATCGGGTCTTCGTTTTGCGACACGTCAAGGTACTTCTTGCAATAGGGCTGCAAGTAATCCTTCTCGTCGAGCAGGAGAACCTTGAGCACCTCCTCGCTCACCTGTCCGTAGGAGGAGCGCATGAGGAAGCACCGTGCCAGCACGTCCTCCTTCTTCACCACCTTCACGCACTGCCGGATGTAATCCACGACGCCAAGCTGCTTGTAGGTGGGTTTCTTGTCCATGTAGTAGGCCCGGAGACTGCCCAGGTACGTCTCAACCACCACTGAGGAGTAGAGGACGAGACGCACGTCGGTGGCGCAGCCCAGGTTGAGGGAGAAGCGCTTCACGCTCTCCATCTCACCGACGCTGGTAGCACCGCCAGAGCGCACGCGGCAGACAATCTCGTTCACCTTCGCCCTGAACGAATCCTTCAGCTCCTGCGAGAGAATAACGTCCAGCCACAGGTGACCGACAACAATCTCCGTCGGCTGAATCACGTGCTCGGGTGGCATGCCCCGCTTTTGCCACGTCCAGTGCAGATAGGTAAAGATCGGCTTGACCAGGTTGGCGCCCGCCGTGAACTTCTCAAACGCATCCAGGTAAGAGTTGAGCGAGTCCTTCTGGATTGTCGTCTTGACGATGCTGACTTGCCGCTTTAGCAGCTCACGCAGGAGGTAGTACACCACCAGCACCTGCGTGCTCTCCTCCGTCTGGCCGACCACCGGCGTGGAGTTGCTACCGCGCACCAGGGCTGGGTAGTTGGAGCACTTGTACGCGGTCAAGTCGTACACTAGTCCGTAGGCATCGCAGATTTGAGCGAGGAGCTCATTATAGTCCTTGCCGAGGTCGTGCGAGGGACGCTTTTTCACCTTTTGGAAGGCGACGTTGCACACGTTAGCTACCTCCTTCCACAGCGGCGGAAAGGAGTTCAGCTTGCGCACGCCGTCCTCGGGGTGGTTCATTGGCTTCCAAAGGGGAGAAGAAACGGGGGTGTATAATTGATGAGGGGGGCAAACAAGCAGGGAGCTAAAAGGAGAGGACGGCACGCAGCGCCCCGCTCTCTCTCTCTTTGACGTTTTCAGAATCGTCTGCAACAATAAGGTTGTCTCTCAAGTCTCCGGTGTCGACGCGCGTTTGAAGTGAGAGAGGAATGTAGGATCACTATGTAGGAACAGCTGGCCTTATGAGGCTTTCTTGTTAACACATGCGCTGCAAAAGGATAAAGAAGCGAAGGGAATGAGGAGGAGAGGAAACAGTTGACAAACGCCACGGCCCAGCATCAAGGAAGTACGCGTGTTGCATTCAAGTGGCGCCAGTGGGGCGGAACCTCGATTGTGTTCGCCCTCAAACGGGCGGCACACGCGCATGCTACTTCGTCACTCCCTACGGTCGCACTTCATCCGTTGCAAGATTTACGGTGGCATGACACCGACTCCCCCATAGTACTCCACCTGTCCGCTCCCTTACGGTGCCCATCCGTCCTGCACTTCTGCCTTTCCTTCACAGAGCGGAGAGAACGTGTTGCAGAGCAAAGGCAAGGCCACATCGTTTACGACCGTGCGAGCCAGGCTCCCACGCTGCCTCGGCTCGAAATCCCCAAAGTTCCTCGACAACGTATCCGCGGGGTTCATTGGTCCGGCGATGTAGAAAAAGACAACGCTGATCCCTCGTTCGTAGAACACGTCATAGGCGTACTCGTACAGTTTGTTCAGAGACAGCCCTCGGCCTATCCCTCCGAAACCGTTGAGTTGCTTTTGGGCGTGTACGATGGGAAAATGGTCCGTTACCAGCGCTATCTTCGCACCGTCCGGTAAACCCTCCTCGACGAGTTGCCGCAGCATCAACTCGGCTGCGCGCGGTTCAGCGTGCGCCGAGTGCTTGGCCATGAAGTACGGTCGGTCGTCAGTTTCCGCGGAGTCGCGGCCCCGAAGGGGTGCACGTGCCCGTGGCAACCGGGTCTGCTCGAGCTCATTCACCCACATCTGCTGATATGCGGTGATGCTCTCAGCGCCATCGAGTGGCCCGACGGAGCCTGCCTCCCTTGACGTGTTGCGCAGGTGTTTGTGGGCGTACGCGCCCCACCCGCCTAAGGAGGCGTCCGTGAAGCACACCACGTCGTAGTTGTCTTCCGAGTACGTGGCGGAGCGTTCCCTGGCGATGGGTTGCCACGGGTTGTGCACCAAGCGGGCTCCAAGCTCGTGCAGGGCGGCGTGGATTTGTGGATGGAGGAAAGGGAGTGGGTCGTCCCAATCGAACCCTCGGCTAACCAGGCGGGCCGCCCCTCGGTAGGCCCGTGCCAGGCTGAATGCACGTGCAGGGTTGATCAGTGTGGTGTGCAACATGTAAAACATGAGCGACACCACCGACGCAAAGGACCGAATTGTGAAGGCGGGCTTTCGTAACGCGACGATCAACTTCGCCACACTCTTCGCCGAGTTGCGCACTAAGCGCTCGCTACCGTTCCACCTATACTCTTCCCCGAGAAAGGTGTTCGGTTCCTTAGCCAACGACAACAATGACGCGTCGTCCATGGTTGCCAAGGATTCGCGATCGGGCGATGTGAGAAGGTTGGCGCCGCGTATACGCGCCATAATCCTGCGGACAGCCGACAAAAAGTCCTCTTCCTGTCCTTCGTCCGCTGCAATCAAGATATTGTCAATCATAGTCATGATCGTTACTGGTGTATCGACGTCGACTATTGTTGACGTAATACCCTGACCCACTGCGACACTCCACCGTGCTTCTGTAGGCAGTGTGCAGAGACGGAAGTAGGCGCCGTTGCGGGCGCGAAAGACAAAGAAGTTTCGCAACTCACCAGGGAGCGGGGTGGCGTCATAGTACGCTTCGAAATCCACTTGAAGCATGTACCGCTTGTTCCGCAAACTCTGCCTTCGCTCTAGGCGCGTTGGGTACTGGACTTTCGGCATGTCGCTCGTCTGGAGGCACGCGTTTAGGTGCGGTTCGGTGATGAGTCGTCTCCTGCCCTTCATTTCCGGTACTGCGAAAACGTTAACGCCGTGTACTCCTTCTGGGAGGTGCTTACCCTCGATGTTGTCGGCTGCGGGGCACAGTTCCATCTTCCCCATCTCCACTGCTCGGTCGATATCTGCCATCGGCAAGTGGCATTTCTTAATTGTCCTCGATGTCCTAAAGCCGGTGAAGTGCTCAGGCGTGAAAAACATCCCCACTCGTCCGAGGAAAGCCCGTGTTTCTGGCTTGGTAGTTGTCATGTCGCAAACTGCGTTCCAGTTCAGCGGAGTTGTCTTCTTGAGGTGTAGCGGCCATTGTCCTGGTGGAGGTAACGGCGGTGCGTTGTGGGCGCCCTTGAGGCGCTGAATCTCTCGATATACCTCCGTGGGGTCGACAGCTAAGTCTTGCGTTGTAGGTGCGGTTAGGCCGAACTGTTCAGTTCGTAAAGGGCCGCGCTGGCGTTGGCCTGCGCGGTTGCGGCCTCCGTCGTGAGTTGGTGGCCATAGCCCAGGTACCTGTGGAGTGTGTCGGCGCGTCGGTGACCTGACATGATCATCAGTTCGTGCTCTGCCATTCCGTTCGCCGCCATGCAGCGTAGCGCGCCCTTGCGTACTGACGGTAGTGCTGCCAAAGGGTTCTCGCGGCGCAGGGCCGTGCGGATGGTGTCGGTGATTTCGGTCGGTCGAGCAAACAGGTGCTGCGTAGGTCGCCGGCTGCGGAGGAGGTGCGCGAGAATCAGCGCCGATTCGCGCGGCAGGGTTGACGGAACAGAATACGGCCCTCGGAACCGTGCCCCTTTGCCGCGTCTCATTGTCAGGACTACGCCATACCGATCTGGCCATATTGTCACACCTCCGTCCACAAATGGTGGCGGTTCCTCCCCCGTGAAGCGTACATCCCTGCACTGCAGAGTCCGTAAATCGCCCGCGCGAGCCGCAAATGCCCACATCATTTCGAGGAACAGAGAAGCTTCCTGATCGCGCTGCCGTAGTGAGTTCCGTTGCGCCGCGTCCTTTTGTTCCTGAGTGATAGGGGACGGCGGAGCCGCGACACTCTCCCGGTCGAAACGCTGCGCGGCGGCCACTGTCTTCTGCCATTCCGGGTAGCGGTTGAGATGTATCGGTTCGCGTTGATTGGTGTAGAGGGGCAGTTGTTGCAGCGCACCACTGACGGACGCCAGGGCCTTCGCGGTGGTCGACCATTTCCATTGTCTTGTCACCGCGATGCGGCGTACAAACTCTACCACTGCCGCAGCCAAATTGCGCCTGCTCAGTAGGTCGGCCGGTAGTGCGCGCAGCTCGTACAGCCACCGCCGGTGTACTGCCCGCGTACCTTCTGATACGGCGGACCAGGCCATTTGGCTGATGTGCGGGGGCTTCCCTGGGTGGATATACCACGTTCTCGGGCAGGCCGGACCCCCAGGTAGCAGCCCGCCCCTGTCGTTTAAAGGAAAAATCTCTGTCGCGTTGTGCCGTCCGGCCACCTCTACTGGCTGAGCTAGCCGTAAGAAACGAATCAGAAGAGGAGACGAGGGAGCGAGTAAAGAACACAGATATGGTGTTTTGCCACATTCCATCTAACAAACGGAGTAATACATGACCAAAGCGTCAGTGCCGATTCCAATGCTCAAAACACCTTCGCTTTACCAAATGCAGAGCTGACTTGCCATCCTTTTCTACCTACATCATTTGACTTCGTTTTCCAACTCAGTATCACACAACAAAATCGCGCGCACACACACACACAGAAGAAAACCCCAAAACAAGCAGAGAGAAGTGAGTTGCTTTGGGGGTGATTTGGACGAATGCGCTGTTGTGACAACAGCGGTCCACGCGCAGAAATAGAAATATATGTATATAAAAGAAAAATGGGTTGAAAATATAAGTAAAATACAAATATATGGAATCGTTGTAATTTCTATGCCACGACTTGCTTTCACTCGTTTCTTCACAACAGTGCTGGAGGCGGCACTACGGCAAGTGCGACAAGGAGAGGGCGTTTGAAAGAAAATGGAAAGACAGGACAAATGGAAAAGTGGTCATTTCGCTTTGGGCTGCAGCGCGCGCGCACTGAAATGGCACTGGAGAACCCGCACAAATGACTTTGGTTCTGTTTTTGTTTTTTTTTACATGTTCTTCCCGAACAACACCACGCGCACAGAAATACGTATGTTCAGAGGTGGGGATGGTGCAAGGCAAACTGACTGGACTGTCTGTGACCGCCGACTGTAGCGCAATAAGCATGCCCGAATACAATCGCCTCAACGAGGCACCTCAGTTGTTACCTTTTGCTTCGCTGCGACGCTTTTCATGACGTGATTTCTTCTTCTTCTTTTATCAATTTGCACAACAACACTCCTCACAAACTCACGTCGACACACGTTGAAAACTAAAAAAACCTCGTTCGATGACTGCTTGTCGTTGCTTAATCACGAGCGCGCTTGTCGCCCGGTGCAGCGGCCTCCTCCTGCGGCTCCGGCTCCTCCTCCTCGCCCAGGAAAGTTGCCGCTACCACGAGTGGGGTATCGCTGCCGGGGAAGGCGGCACCGTCCAGCTCGGCCAGCGCGCGCTCGAAGCCGGTGCGATCCTTCAACTCGACCAACGCGTACCCGGCGCAGTAGCAGTCCGCACTCAGCGGGATCTTCACATCCGTCACGGTGCTGAAGTAGTCGGGGTCGGCCTCCTTGAAGGCGACTAGGAAGTTCACGATGTCCTCCTGGGTCGTCGTCTCCGGCAGGTTCGAGAAGAGCAGGACCCAGCCCTCGATGCTCGGAATCGGGTAGCCAGGCTGGATATCGTCCGGGCGCTGCAGACGCTCATACTGCGTGCGGGCACGGCGGACACGACGCAGCTGCTGCAGACCGGTGCTGGGCATCGATGCAGTCTCCATAAGCGCAGGAAGCCCCGAAAAGAGGGGAACAGAAAAAGTATGTTGAGCGAGGAAAACCCACCAGAGAGGGGAGGGGACAGAAAGGCACGCGAGGCAGCCTACTTTTGTGTCAGCAGCAGCAACAACGAACACACAAACTGCAGGAAGAACGGAGGGAGGGAAGGAAGGAAGTTGGTGACGAGTGGAAATCAGAAACAAAAAAAAGAACAAATCACCGGTAAGGAGAGAGAAACACGCCACGCTTTCTTCTTCTTTGTTGTTTTTTCCTTCTCCTAGATGGCGCAGCTACGAAGAACGCCTTGTCCGTTCCAGACACGCAGCACGGTTTACATTGAGGTATCTTCTGGTGCTCCTCTTTGAGTTCATACGGCTTTATCAGTGAGTCAACAATAACAGCGAAAAACGAAGAAGAAAAAAGAAACGGTAGCCGAGAAGAGCAGAACATAACAACTCGGGTGACGATGAAGCACCACCACACGCATCCGAAACACAAACAAATCCACCATTCCGCGATCACCACCAGTCGATAAGGGAAAAAGGAGAAAGGAAAAACCTGCCATCTCTACAGATCTTCTCCATTCCAGCGCAAACCCGGCTTTGTGGTGGCACCACCGTACCCCGTCAGCCGCGGTCCATAGCGGTGATCGCCCTTCACGTAGCCGCCGCGCATGTTCCCGGTGACCACGTACTGCCCGTAGGCGCGCACCTCCGTCGCAACCGTGTTGTTGCGGGTGTAAACCTGGCCCGACTTCACCGTCGCAAAGCGCTGCGAGCGCGAGAGCATCGCGTCGATTTTCTCCTGCAGCTCCGCCGGCGTGCACTGCTCCACGCCATTGCCGAGCTCTACGCGGATCGGGTAGAGAATACCGGGGCGGGCGTACGGGTCGTTCTTTCGCATCGCGTCCACAATCCGGCAGAACACGGGGGCGAGCAGCAGCGACCGGGGCGACGACGGCCCGCAGCGGCGTAGCATTGGCAGCTCGTTTGACTGGGTAGAGCAGTCCACACTCTGCAAAAAAAAAAGGGGGTGTAGAGATAGAAACAGTGGGTCACCGTCTGAACGGCTTTCCGGTGCTAAAGGTGGTTTCAGTTGCCTCCGCACACAGGCACACAAATCGACGCAGCGGAAGCGGAGAACGACGACGAGGTACAAAAAGGAATAACGCTGCTTCTCGCACAAAACATAAAGGAGGTAAGGAGGAGACGTTTGAAGGGAGGAAGGGGGGGGGGGTATTTCTGCTTCACCCCTCGTCGTTCTCATGTGCAAAAGGCGACGTCAAACAACGACGATAAGAAATAAATAAAGTCCACAAACACGCCATGTCGCGCTTTATGGCCACCATTTCTCTCCCTCTCTCTGTAATGTAGCGTAGATGTTTTGGGCAATGAAGAGGCCTCCGTGCGTTCACAGAATCGGTTCAGGGTCGTGCGGACGTGCATGCGCACCAGCGTCAATACGAGCGGGTGTGTGCCTTTTGTTTGGTTGGTTCCACTTCTTTCTCGGTATTGTTGGTGTGGTGGTGGTCATGATATGCGCCTGCGTCAAGGTGTTCTACCCCATTTGGGTAGAGAACAACAGAGAAGATATATATATGTTTATTTTTGATGGTACACGTAGCCAACACACAAGAATAAAAGAGGATCGAGAAAAACTTCACCGTCACAAAGGGAGGTGTAATGCAGATGGGGCAACCGGTGCGTGGCAGAGTATCTTAACTATAAATCAATCGAAGAAGAAAAGGGAAAAAAAAGAGGACTAAAAAAAGAGCACGCACGCACACACACGCACTCGTATGCCTGAATGAAGAAGATAAACATTAATAATAATAATAATAAATGATGTAGCCGAATCGACGCTGGCAGTGAGGTAAAATAACGAGGGAGAACACACAAATATGTGGGAATAATAAAAAACAAGCAGCAAGAAACAACGAGCGAAGTATTGATGTGTATCGGCAAAGGAAGAAAGGAATAAGAAGAAGAAAAGGCACGCGGATGCACCCTCCACGCGAAAATGAGCAATCACAAAAGAAGAGTGCTACGCGGAAGCAAATCTCAATCAACAAAGAAAACAAAACAAAAGAAGAGAGGAGAAGAGAGGGGGCATTCACGTCACGAAGGCGACAAAGGACGGTGGTACACGACGTCTTAGGGAGAAAGAAAAAAAAAATTGGCGTTTAACTAAATATAAAAGGAAGAAGAAGGACAGCTGCGGTCACCGCGCCTTTATGCTTTTCTTTCCTCCTTTCTCAGCTCTCCATTATCCTCCGTATATCATTTACCATCTAATCAATTCTTTTTTGGGGTGGCGAGTTCTGTCGTCGCGTAAAGCAGACACGCGCATGGATCCAAAATAAAAGAATGCCGCCAATCGATTGAAAGAGAAAAGTAAAAGGATAAAAGAAAAGATGAATGAGCACCAAACTCCTCTCTTCATGTTTTTCCTTCTGTTATCGCTGCTTACAGTCGCATTAGAAAAGAAAAGAGGGGACAGTGGGAGAAGAGGAAAAGAAAAAGAGACCAAAACCACGTCGCGCTGTTATTCGTCTTCGATGCATGAAGGTGAATTGGAGCTTCACCCACGTCAAGTCAGCATCTAAAAAAAAAAACATTTAAAAAAAGAAGCCCCAAAGCTGGCGTAGTGAAAGATGAGAAAAGGGTCAGAAGGAGGGCTAAGCTGCAACGGAGAACAAAAAGAATAATAATAACAACAATAGTAATCACCTGACGCGACACCGAGTGCATCACTTGTTCTTCTTTCTTTTCCAAATAGATATCAGATCTAAAAATCTGCCCCCTCCAACGTGCCCGTCGTCTTGCAAAGCAGGGTGCTAGATAGCTCACTCGCTACTGGCGAACCGGTGTCCTCATCCTTCGGTGGGCTGCCGCGCGACGTCACGTCGGTCACCGTAATAGCCGACACCTGCAGCCGAGGCGCGGCAGACGGAGCAGCGGCGGTGGCTTTCGCAGCAGGTGAGGTCTCGTGTGCGTTGTGCTGCGCCACCACCGACGGTGGCGGCGTTGCGCGGCCGGAGAAGTCGTTGGGCGTAGGCGAGTCTTCGACGACGGCGATTTCGCCGACGGACACCACCGCTTTCGTCGGTGGGGGCTGCTGCTGGGCATCCGCCGGCAACGGTGCGAGCGGCTCTGCGGGCACCACCGGCGCCGGCGGCGGCCTTGGATGCAGCAGCTCATCGATGCGTGCGTCGATCTCCGCCATCGACGCCTCTGGCGCAAATCGCGCGAACGGGACGCCAGCCTGGTCACACACAAACACGGTGAAGTTCCAGTTGATTGCGGTTTGGCCTAGGGTGCCGCGAATGCGGCTCTTTAGGAAGGTGAAGAGCGGCGATGCGTGATCGCCGTTCACCTCGACCTTCGCCATAATGGGGAAGTCCACCTCACCGATGCGCGGGTACAGACAGGAGATGTTCTCCGCAATCTCGTCCTCGTTGCCCGGCTCGCCGGAGCCGAACTCGTTGCATGGAAAGGCAAGCACGACGAAGCCCTCCGCGTGGTGTTTGTGGTACAGCTTCGAAAGCGTAGTGTAGCCGGCTTCCGTGAAGTCCTTGTCTTTGCTCGCGACGTTGCAGATGAGCACGACGGAACCTTTGTGCTGGGCGAGGTCGTAGAGCTCGTGGAAGCAGTTGAGAACTTGGAAATCGAAAATGGTCTTGTTCGCGTTGGGGTCTGAGGAGTTGGGCGAGGGCTCGTTGCTGGCCAGCGTTTCGTTCGGCGCCTTCCCCTGCGACGTGGAGTTGTTCACGCCGCCGTTATTCGCAGAGGGTAGGTGCTGCGACCGGGAGAGGGCCGGCGCGGACGCCTCGAGGATGGAGATGGAAACACGATTGCGAGCCTCCATGATCGCTTGCTTTTTCTTTCTTGCGTTTTCTTCTCCACTTATATCGCCGAAGGAAACCCCCCAAAACGCCGAACGACGCAAACCGAAGAAAATTGTCTGCTTCTATGATAGAAAGAGAGAGAGAAGAAGCGAAAAGAAGATCTTGCAAGATGACGTCCGTGACACCATTCCAGATCCGATGCTCTGCAGGTGGTGCCACGAGGAATAGCGCGGTAAGGCGATGAAAAAAAAAAACAGGAAACATGAAGAGAGCAACGGAGGGAAGTAATGGAGGTAAATCAAACAACAAATAAAAGCACAGAGATTCAAAGAAAGAACGTACATACATCAATACCGCCTCAGCAAATACACTCACACCTACACACAAAAAGATGAGCATCGGCATTTAGGGAGCAACAAGTGCCGCGCGTAATTCTCGGCCCAGTCACGATGTCTGCAACGGCGGTAAAGTTGCACAGCTGGCAGACCTACAACGTTTCCTTCTTGAAGCTTTTTTGTTGACCATTTACTTCTTATATGCATTTGAACGCCAAGATGAACGTAGAGGAGGGAGAACAGTAGTGGATAAACCACCGAGGGCAATGGAGGTTGATATGTGGGAGGTATCGATGCAGCGGTATATCGAAGAGAGAGAAAAACAATGACTCACAATAATGAACGCAAAACAAACAAAAACAGCAAAACAAATACGAGCAACAAGTTTTCCGTGGCAGAGAAATCAAAGAAAGAGGATACTCACGATGAAGCCGTACAAGAGGAAAGCGTCACCGTTGGAGCCACGGCCAAGAAATGCAAAGAGGAGAACTCTACAGCTTCGCGCCCGCATCGTCGAACAGGGGCAGCAGTTTCTTCTCGATTTCCTCCGTCTTCGCGCCGGGCGAGAAGCGGTGCACGGCGTGGCCCTCCTTGTCCACCAAGAACGCCGTAAAGTTCCACTTCACGGATGTGCTACCGAGGAGACCCTTCTGTGCGTGCTTCAGGTAGTGGTACAGTGGGTGCTCCTTGTCGCCGTTCACGTCGATCTTCTCCATTATCGGGAAGTCAGCCTTGAAGCGGGTGCACGCGAACTCCTTCACCTCTGCCTCCGTGCTGGGCTCCTGCCCATTGAACTGGTTGCACGGAAACGCAAGCACCGTGAAGCCGCGGTCCTTGTACTTGTTGTAGAGCGCGGTGGCCGTCTCGTACCCGCCTTTCGTGTAGCCACACTTGCTGGCCACGTTGTAGATCAGCAGGGGGTGGCCCTTGTGTTGCGTGAGGTCGTACGGCTTGTGCTCCGCGTCGTTCACCTGAAAGTCGTAGATGGAAGACATGGCGGCGGCACGAAGGAGAGGAGAAGCACGCATTCTTCAATAGACGTATAAAAGGCAGCAATTGGTGTGACGCTGTATAGCACAAGGAAATAGAAGTGATCAAAAGCCGGTTGTCCTTCAGCACGCAAAACAACGATGACACGGATAGGGAGAGCGTGCGGGAGTGTAAGAGCAGTGCAGCAGGACACCAATATAGCAGGACAGAGTGGGAGGAGAAGTGACAGCTGACCTGCCCGCAGCAAACAGCCTTGACGAAGCACTCGAAGAGCGTCTCGCCGTTTGACGGCGCTTCTTATGTTTCATCAGCGCATGCGCCACAGCACGTGGGACCGGGAAAGAGTGAGGTGAAAACAACGAAATCAGCCTTTCGTTTTCAAACGCCGTTGCGTCGGGACATAAACACCGCAACGCCCATCGGACATCGCCGGAAACTCTGACTAACCTCTTCTCCCCCTTTTCAAGTGTTCCTCTGCAGCCACAACACGCAGATGCCGGCAATTATTGATACACTCGGATACCCACTCACACGCAGATACATTTATATATGTGAGAACTCATGTTTGGAAGAACCGGATGTAGTGGTATGTTTGCCTTCAGTTCGTGGAATGCGACAGGTGCGGCCAGGAGAACGGGTAGCAATAAAACGCTAAATAGGTATAGCGAGAAGCACCGGGAGAGAGAAATAATAAAAAACGAACATAAATGGAAAATACCCCACCGCATAATGATCCATGAAGCTGGCAAGGAGGAGAAGGCGTGTATATAAGAAAATATATTGTCCGTGAAAATAAGCGCAAATGTGCGAAAAGAAGATGTAAAAGGGCGGTCAGCTGCACCGCGTTGCTGAGCGAAAGAAGTGCGAGGACATCTAGCAAAGGGAAAGAAAAGTCTCCCCCTTTCGCTAGCGCAAACAACACAAACTGTTTCGTGTTTGTTCACAGGAGGAGAGGGAACGCAACAGAATAAATAAATAATAGTAGAATAATAATAGTGGAGTAATAAAGGTCCGCAACTCTTAGTTGTCGGTGTTCGCGCCCGCATCGTCGAACAGGGGCAGCAGTTTCTTCTCGATTTCCTCCGTCTTCGCGCCGGGCGAGAAGCGGTGCACGGCGTGGCCCTCCTTGTCCACCAAGAACGCCGTAAAGTTCCACTTCACGGACGTGCTACCGAGGAGACCCTTCTGTGCGTGCTTCAGGTAGTGGTACAGTGGGTGCTCCTTGTCGCCGTTCACGTCGATCTTCTCCATTATCGGGAAGTCAGCCTTGAAGCGGGTGCACGCGAACTCCTTCACCTCTGCCTCCGTGCCGGGCTCCTGCCCATTGAACTGGTTGCACGGAAACGCAAGCACCGTGAAGCCGCGGTCCTTGTACTTGTTGTAGAGCGCGGTGGCCGTCTCGTACCCGCCTTTCGTGTAGCCGCACTGGCTGGCCACGTTGTAGATCAGCAGGGGGTGGCCCTTGTGTTGCGTGAGGTCGTACGGCTTGTGCTCCGCGTCGTTCACCTTAAAGTCGTAGATGGAAGACATGATGCTTTTTGAAAAGGCGGTGAAGTTCAATTCTTCAATAGACGTATAAAAGGCAGCAATTGGTGTGACGCTGTATAGCACAAGGAAATAGAAGTGATCAAAAGCCGGTTGTCCTTCAGCACGCAAAACAACGATGACACGGATAGGGAGAGCGTGCGGGAGTGTAAGAGCAGTGCAGCAGGACACCAATATAGCAGGACAGAGTGGGAGGAGAAGTGACAGCTGACCTGCCCGCAGCAAACAGCCTTGACGAAGCACTCGAAGAGCGTCTCGCCGTTTGACGGCGCTTCTTATGTTTCATCAGCGCATGCGCCACAGCACGTGGGACCGGGAAAGAGTGAGGTGAAAACAACGAAATCAGCCTTTCGTTTTCAAACGCCGTTGCGTCGGGACATAAACACCGCAACGCCCATCGGACATCGCCGGAAACTCTGACTAACCTCTTCTCCCCCTTTTCAAGTGTTCCTCTGCAGCCACAACACGCAGATGCCGGCAATTATTGATACACTCGGATACCCACTCACACGCAGATACATTTATATATGTGAGAACTCATGTTTGGAAGAACCGGATGTAGTGGTATGTTTGCCTTCAGTTCGTGGAATGCGACAGGTGCGGCCAGGAGAACGGGTAGCAATAAAACGCTAAATAGGTATAGCGAGAAGCACCGGGAGAGAGAAATAATAAAAAACGAACATAAATGGAAAATACCCCACCGCATAATGATCCATGAAGCTGGCAAGGAGGAGAAGGCGTGTATATAAGAAAATATATTGTCCGTGAAAATAAGCGCAAATGTGCGAAAAGAAGATGTAAAAGGGCGGTCAGCTGCACCGCGTTGCTGAGCGAAAGAAGTGCGAGGACATCTAGCAAAGGGAAAGAAAAGTCTCCCCCTTTCGCTAGCGCAAACAACACAAACTGTTTCGTGTTTGTTCACAGGAGGAGAGGGAACGCAACAGAATAAATAAATAATAGTAGAATAATAATAGTGGAGTAATAAAGGTCCGCAACTCTTAGTTGTCGGTGTTCGCGCCCGCATCGTCGAACAGGGGCAGCAGTTTCTTCTCGATTTCCTCCGTCTTCGCGCCGGGCGAGAAGCGGTGCACGGCGTGGCCCTCCTTGTCCACCAAGAACGCCGTAAAGTTCCACTTCACGGACGTGCTACCGAGGAGACCCTTCTGTGCGTGCTTCAGGTAGTGGTACAGTGGGTGCTCCTTGTCGCCGTTCACGTCGATCTTCTCCATTATCGGGAAGTCAGCCTTGAAGCGGGTGCACGCGAACTCCTTCACCTCTGCCTCCGTGCCGGGCTCCTGCCCATTGAACTGGTTGCACGGAAACGCAAGCACCGTGAAGCCGCGGTCCTTGTACTTGTTGTAGAGCGCGGTGGCCGTCTCGTACCCGCCTTTCGTGTAGCCGCACTGGCTGGCCACGTTGTAGATCAGCAGGGGGTGGCCCTTGTGTTGCGTGAGGTCGTACGGCTTGTGCTCCGCGTCGTTCACCTTAAAGTCGTAGATGGAAGACATGATGCTTTTTGAAAAGGCGGTGAAGTTCAATTCTTCAATAGACGTATAAAAGGCAGCAATTGGTGTGACGCTGTATAGCACAAGGAAATAGAAGTGATCAAAAGCCGGTTGTCCTTCAGCACGCAAAACAACGATGACACGGATAGGGAGAGCGTGCGGGAGTGTAAGAGCAGTGCAGCAGGACACCAATATAGCAGGACAGAGTGGGAGGAGAAGTGACAGCTGACCTGCCCGCAGCAAACAGCCTTGACGAAGCACTCGAAGAGCGTCTCGCCGTTTGACGGCGCTTCTTATGTTTCATCAGCGCATGCGCCACAGCACGTGGGACCGGGAAAGAGTGAGGTGAAAACAACGAAATCAGCCTTTCGTTTTCAAACGCCGTTGCGTCGGGACATAAACACCGCAACGCCCATCGGACATCGCCGGAAACTCTGACTAACCTCTTCTCCCCCTTTTCAAGTGTTCCTCTGCAGCCACAACACGCAGATGCCGGCAATTATTGATACACTCGGATACCCACTCACACGCAGATACATTTATATATGTGAGAACTCATGTTTGGAAGAACCGGATGTAGTGGTATGTTTGCCTTCAGTTCGTGGAATGCGACAGGTGCGGCCAGGAGAACGGGTAGCAATAAAACGCTAAATAGGTATAGCGAGAAGCACCGGGAGAGAGAAATAATAAAAAACGAACATAAATGGAAAATACCCCACCGCATAATGATCCATGAAGCTGGCAAGGAGGAGAAGGCGTGTATATAAGAAAATATATTGTCCGTGAAAATAAGCGCAAATGTGCGAAAAGAAGATGTAAAAGGGCGGTC